AGACACTTTCCTTTAATAGTTTGTGACCCTGAACTAAATCCAGAACTTAACGTTCCCAGAAGTTCAAACACTTGCTGTTTAATGTATGATGACCATATAACATTACAAGACCTCATAAAATATCAAGGTGTCAAATGTGAAGTGTTGCAAGGATACTATTACGATGGAAACAGAGATATAGGGTGTCCAAAGGTGCGTTTAGCACAGCGCTCTATATGAGACTATTAAAGGAGATATATGCTGATTATAAATATATAATAAAAAATATGAATATATGTATATGATGAGTATGTTGTATTTTGGCGCCATGCCGGGATATAAAATGAATTTTGAGACAAGAGGCGGTTTCGCGGGAAATTTTGGCGGGATTTTTTTCATTTTTTTAATGAATCATAAAGAAAACATCCTCGCTCTTGCAAAAAAATGCAAAGACTGTAAAAAAATCTACGAGACATTGGTAAAATGCTTCGGTATGGATGCTCCTAGCTATTCCACTGTAACGTATCATGTTAGGATGTATCACTTCATGAACAAAAAGGCGCCCCATCAAAAATTGACAAAAAATCGCCGGATCAAAGAAAAATCAAAGCAATTCTTCAAGCGCTAGATGAAGACCCAAGAGCATCACTCAGAAGGATAGAGGAGATGACAAAGATACCACGTACAACAGTCAGTTATTATCTGCACAATTATTTGAACTACAAACTAGCGTATACACGCTGGGTTCCGCACAACCTTAATTCAGTTCAAAAAAAATCTAGAGTCCAATCTTCGAAAGAGCTCCTCTCTATATTGGGTGCGTATCAATCCAAGAAGTTTCGCTTTTTAGTAACAGGGGACGAGTCTTGGTTTCAATATGCAACAGAAGCCAAAATCATGTGGATCCCGAAGGATGAAAATCCGCAAACATTCCCGAAGAAAAAAATTGACACACCAATGATGATGTTGTCGGTTTTTTGGGGCGTGAATGGCATCATCGCAATTGATATTCTTCAAAAACCTAATACGATGAATGCTCAGTATCTAATTGACAATGTTCTTACTCAAATTATCAATTCTGATGAGTTTGAGAAATCCAAACAACAAAAACAAAAGTTTGCAATTCATTTTGATAATTCAAGAGTTCACAAAAGTCATAAGGTAATGAATTACTTGGTGGAAAACAATGTCAAAGTTGTTCCAAACCCAATCATTCACCTGATATTGCACCCTCTGACTTTTATTTATTCGGCACGCTAAAAAAGAGAGCTGAAGGACGCGAATTCGCGAGTCCAGATGATCTTGAAAATTTTGTAAGAGAGCAATTTGAGCAATTTTCTCATGATGATTTAAAGCGTGTCTTTCAAGCCTGGATCGATCGCTGCGAACGCGTGATTGAATCCAATGGTGATTATATTTAAATAAACTTTATATATATGTAACTTGTTTATTTCTATTCGCAGTATTCAGGTTTGTGCTAAACACACCTTTGGACACCCTATATATTGACCCTTCTGAAGTTTTCAAGAGAGCAAATGAAGAAGTTGATGTCACTTTTGATATGATTATTCCGGTAAATGATTTGTTAGCATTTCAGGCGTTCGATGATTATCCTAAATCATTTGGTGATATCATTCTTAAATATTATGTTTTCAGGGATACTTTAGTATTTTGTCAGGTTGACCCGTTAAGAGTTGCTGATTTACAAAATTACGTTTATGAAAAGATAACTGATGAAAATTATGAAAAGATTATGAATCATGTTTATAAATATGATCGCAAATTCCAACAAATCGGACTTCCTACCAAATTAATTACAAGCTTAGCCGCTACATCTGCTGACGCAACAGTTGATGCCGTTATTATTTCATGCACAAAGATGGAAGTTTTAGAGGATAAATGCATTACACCAGGATACGGTTTAATTGAAGAATCAGTTAAAGCAATACCACGTTTATTCAGTAAGGAAGATCCATTCATGATTCCAGCTCAACATATTGACGTTCGTTCACTAAATGGAGGTTGCATCACTCCTGAAGGTATTAGCTCAGATTTCTCATACGCTCTTCATAATGTTACAGATGTTGTGTTAACATTTCCGAAAAATGCAATGCAAAGAACAGTTTTAGAAAATCCAATGCTTCGAGGTCTTCAGGTCACTATAGATTCCAGAAACTTCCCCGATCAAGCGATGACCACAGTGGGTGACATATTCTTTACACGTATGCTTCAAGCTTCTGATTTAGATGGAGTGAATGAATGCACAGAAGAATACGAGGACTCATTAACTAGACCACTAAATGCAGATGATGGCACGCCATTAGCTAGAACATGGAAAGACCAAACTTCATTCTTATGCACTATTCCAGTTCAACGTGATGGAGCGGGTATATTCTTTGATGGATTAGAAACTTTTAACTCACAAGTTACAGTACAAGTGAAAGCTTATCCAATCATTCAGGGTGAAAATGACACTTACTGTTCAAAGGTGACAAATCCTCCTCAGGTTTGGTTTACTAGGACTACATATTGGACATGGACACCGGACGAAGGTTTGAAATATCATCCAACAGGTACACCACCACAGTATAGAAGTTCATATGATGAAATATTGATGAATAGAAATGTTTAAAATTATAAATTTATTTTTGATTAAATGGATTTAAATTCATCCACCCCTTATGAAGAATTAGCGGGAGTATATAATACATACGTAGATGATATGATTAATGAAGCATTGAGTGATAATAGAAATGCTCTATCTAAGGAAAAATTAATGAAAATTCCATATTCTGAATGTTACTTAAATTCAATCACTGCAGCAATTGGTAAACAAAATAAAGGTAAAACATTAACGATATTAAAACAAATTATCATTATTGCTAACACTTCCCCCTATTCACATGTGTTAATTTATATCAACCGTTCAGGTTCACCTTCAGATGATACATTTGAATCTTTAAAGCATTTAATCAAAATTCCAATTATTTATTTATCACAAGAAGAAGCAGAAGATTATTTAAAAAACTTTTTAATGTATAAAGAATTATATAATACAACCAAGAAGCAAGGATTAGAGGATAAAATTATTGATAAACAACGGAATGAATTATTTGAAACACTTTCCATTTCAAATTTTGATAAAGAATTTTTGCATTCACTCATTTTTCTAGATGATGCAGTGAAATCAAAACTAATAACAAATGAGAAATCATATTTTAATCAGTTATTAACTCAATGTCGACACATTCAGTGTTCATTCTTTATGGCTGTTCAATATTTCAAAGCATTAAGCACAAACATTAAATCAAATCTATCAACACTTTTCATTTTCAGTGGTTTTAGTCGTCAACAGTTGAACGTTATGCTTTATCAAGTGAATTTACCAATGAGCATTAATGAACTTTACACACAATATCAGCAATTAGGAGAACATGGAAAAATAATAGTTGATTTAAATAAAGGAGGTGTTAAATTTGATTAACTTTTTATAATTAATTTTTATTTTTTATTTATAATTAAACATGACAGAAATAGCAAATCTTTTACAAGTTCCATTAAAACAAGGAACAAACAAAAAGGGTGCATATAATAGAACTATGAAAGTTCCAGACGGAATGAAAGAATTAGTTCATATTGTTGCTGGTCTTCAAAAAGATGTTAAACAAATGAGAAATGTTTTAACATTACCAGAAGCTCAAGCATATGCCAAACGTCATGGTCCAAATTGGGAAGCACACGAAGCAGACATTACGGGTCCAAATGGAAAACCTGATGGTATAAATGAAGTTTTCGTTACTGATGGTCAAGGTAATATTAAAGTCATAAATGGTTATAAATTAACTGTATCTGATTATCCTAAACGTAAAGCATATAATGAACGTTATCCTATGAAATTTGATGAAAATGAAAAAGCTGTTAAACAATACATTGGAGAAGGTGAAAATGGTCCAATTAATTCATAACCAGATGTCATGTTGTCACATTTTTTCAGAAAAGTTAAATTACCTGGTGACCTGGTGACCTGGTGACCCTATCAGTTATTCAAAAATAATGAATAAATGCTATCCTCCTATGTTGTTGTCAAAATGTCATGTTGTCACATTTTTTCAGAAAAGTTAAATTACCTGGTGACCTGGTGACCTGGTGACCCTATCAGTTATTCAAAAATAATGAATAAATGCTATCCTCCTATGTTGTTGTCAAAATGTCATGTTGTCACATTTTTTCAGAAAAGTTAAATTACCTGGTGACCTGGTGACCTGGTGACCCTATCAGTTATTCAAAAATAATGAATAAATGCTATCCTCCTATGTTGTTGTCAAAATGTCATGTTGTCACATTTTTTCAGAAAAGTTAAATTACCTGGTGACCTGGTGACCCTATCAGTTATTCAAAAATAATGAATAAATGCTATCCTCCTATGTTGTTGTCAAAATGTCATGTTGTCACATTTTTTCAGAAAAGTTAAATTACCTGGTGACCTGGTGACCTGGTGACCCTATCAGTTATTCAAAAATAATGAATAAATGCTATCCTCCTATGTTGTTGTCAAAATGTCATGTTGTCACATTTTTTCAGAAAAGTTAAATTACCTGGTGACCTGGTGACCTGGTGACCCTATCAGTTATTCAAAAATAATGAATAAATGCTATCCTCCTATGTTGTTGTCAAAATGTCATGTTGTCACATTTTTTCAGAAAAGTTAAATTACCTGGTGACCTGGTGACCCTATCAGTTATTCAAAAATAATTCATTAGTTAGAAAAATAACGCTAATTTTATTTTTATATCTTTTTTATCTTGTATGTAAAGACAGTAATGGCAAACATTGAGTTTGAAACAGTTAGAAAGATAGACGATGACACCAAAGTGGTTAGAATAGGTGATTTAAACGTAAGATACTCAAAGAAATACAACAAATATTCTTTGTCAGACATTATATCTCCATCGGAAAAGAAAACAAACGACTGGGTTAGAAATGCTTCAACTCAGAAAATTTTGACAAGAAATCCTGAGCTTATGATATCAGTAGCATTTCATGGAACAAGAGCATATCTTATAGACAAAAGTCTTATACCAATAGTTTTGTTATGGTTAGACCCAGTTGTTGGATATAACTTCATAACATATGGTTCATTCGATACGGAACGTTGCAGTGAAGGCTTACTTTACATCGTTCAGAAACCGAAGGACTTCAACACAAAAAGATATAAGATAGGAAGGACATATAATATAACTCAAAGATATGACAGTACAGTCAATAGAGTCAAGGTTGTGTTTGTTAATGATATGAGAGCTGCTGAAACAGAACTGCTTGAAGTTTTTGAGAAAATGTATGGTGCTCCCATAAAAGGTAAAGAAACGTTTGAAGTAGATGAGATAGATAAAGCTATAAAATTATTTGACGAAGTTGCTGAAAAATACATGTAAAGCGTTTATTTTTGGTCTTTTGTGAAAGTCAGAAAATAAAGTTAGTTTTATTTATTTTGTATGTAAAGACAGTAATGACAACATCAGAGAAGAATAGACGGTAAACAAACATGGTGTTATGATTTGAATTAATTATTGAATAACCTGAAAACCATTAACGATAAAATAACTGATAACAAAATTTTATTTTTATATAAATGGATACCCCACAAGCTCAAAATTTACCACGAATCATAACAAGGGAGGAAACGATAAAAATGATGCGAGAACTTGCTAAAAATAACAAACCACTACAACTGAGAAAATGTGGTTATGCAGTAATGATGGAAAGAGAGACGTTGTCGAAGAGGAATAAAAATTAAATTTGGATTGAGTTTAAAAATTCATCTTTATTAAATTCATCTCTTCCAATCAATTTATTTATTCTATTAAATTCTTTTATTTTTGCTTCACTCAGTTTAAGGATTGAACGGTAAGTTTTTAATTTTTCGATTATTTCTTTCCTCTCTTGATCGTTTTCAACCTCACCACATTGCGGCTTCTTTTTGTAATAGCATATTTTTGATTTAATTCTGTTTAGTTTCTTTTTATATTCATCGTCTGGACTCTTGACTGCTTCGTTGTCACTCATTTCTTACGAAATAAAAAAATTAAATATTATTTAAATATAATGGAGTAATAAAATAAATCGGAATTTCTATTAATTTATTGTTAACCTCAACTAATGCATTGCCGTTAATATATCTAACAAATTCAGCTATTGTGTCAAATCTTCGTCTTCTTTTTGTCATTGATTTATCAGTTTTTCCATAATCGAGATGAATCAAAACTTTATCCCCTTGTTTAAAATTCATGAGCCCCGAATTAATTTGTTCACGTTTAACATCATTTAACCTTTCCATTTGCTTTCTAATATATTCCCATTCTTTTGAAATATCATTTTTCATTTCCACCGGTTTCATGTTTATTGTTCTATGCCATGTATTATTATAATAATATACTAACTGTTGTATGATGGAGTCATGATTTCCATCCCAGTATATCTGACCGTTAACCCCTAACGCATCTCTAAGAGTTCTCATTACCGCATCAACTATTTTATTATGAAACGTATATGGAGAGGATGAAAAGAAAAAATTAATTTGTGGGAAATAATGAGTCATAGCTGCCTGAAATCCTTTATCACCATCACCCCTGATATTATCTACTCTTTCATGATCTAGTAAGTATTGAATAGCTCTTCTTGTTTCCTGTTCTGTTTTCCCTTTCACTGGAATGCAATATAAATATCTTGTGTTAATGTTAATGACAAATAAATAAGTAACATTTCCTTTTGAATATTCTAAATGATCGATTTCGTATGAATATGGATATGGTGCAAATGAAGGGCGACCAAATTTTTCCTTTAACGGTTGAATTTTTGGGTCAATTGGTTTATTTAATATCTTGAAATCCTTTTTAAAATCTTTTTGTTTCTTTAATGTTTGAAATGGATATAATAAAGTGAATGATGAAGGATTAACTGAAGGAGGAGGAGGTACTACCGTTGGAGGTTTTGGTGTTGCGAGTGGTTTAATTTTATCTGCTTTGATTTTGGATGATGAAGTTTTGGAATTCATTCCCTCCTTCATTAATTCTGGATGTATTCTATTCATTTGTTTTAAATATGCTGTATATAAAGATTTGATATACTTTCCTGCTTCGAGTTTATGTTGAAGGATGAATTCCAAAAGTTGATCTTCATTTAAAAGTCGGGCTGAATATGGTTTAACTAATGAATCATAAATTAAAGCTTGTGCATCATTTATGGTCTGAAGGACTTTGGCGTTTTGTTCCTTTGTTTTTTGCGGCTCAGGATTATATAAATTATATAATTCATCAATATCTTTTTCTGTTAATACTTTATTTTTGAAATCTTTCAATTGTTTAAGTTGTGATTTAGTTTTTCCCTTTGCATATTTATTATTTTCAATTTTGTCTTTAATTAAAGAAATTATTATATCATGATATTTCAAAATTTCATTTTTATAATATGGCCAATAATAATCCATATCATCACTCATTATAGTTTCATCATATTTTTGGAGATATTCTTTTAAATCATAATAACTAAGAAAATTTTGTTCATGTATTAAATCATTAATTAACATTTTTATTTTTACGTCATTCATTTATATAAAAATAAAATAAATGTTTAAGGGTGCCCACCTCTTTGATCAAGAATCAAAACCATCATTCAACGGTTCCTTTTGTCTCTTCTGTGGTATTTTATTAAATAAATGGCATACAACATCCATTTTCACAACATACAGCCTTAGTGTGTGCTCCTGTTAATGCAGTCTTACCGATTGTTAAGCGAGTCATTGACCCGTTTTTAAGTTGTAAATTAATATTCTGACCATCAAATATCACTTTATCATTTATTATATCCAAATAATTGATTTCATAAATTCAAATAATCATTAGTTTCTAATTTATTTTTCTCGTTTATGACTTCATTCATGATTTAAACATTGGTTTCATTTATCACGGATTAGCTGACATCATCTATATATAACTTCTTTTATTTCATTATGTATGGGTTGAGTGTAAATGTCTTACGTTTACAAAATCGTTCTATATTGTATGAATTCTTACGTTTACAAAATCGTTCTATATTGTATGAATTCTTACGTTTACAAAAAAAGTCACTAAACCCATCATATACTACTACTATAATTTCTCAAAAAACATGATAACTTGATATTTGTAAATATCATACTTTATAACGTAAATAAGAACTTGACCTATTAAGAAAAGCAGTAATGAAAAGAAAATCTGAAATTCATAAAAATTACAAGTTTCTGATGACAATTAGCTTAATTAAACCAGGTACAAGATTATATAATTGTATTTTCTATCCAATTATCCATATAATATCTTATCCAGAAAAAATAACTTGATCAATACCAAATGATTTTTTAACTAGTAAATAAAGTATTTTCTTTACACACACATTGTATATCATAGTTTTTTTTTTTTGGTTTCGCAAAACATCCAAAAACAAATATGCTATAAAAGTGACAATTTTAGCAAAACGAAACCCTTAATATGAATATTGACGTATTAATGAATAAATAATATTTTGAGAGAAAAGTTGAGTGACGATTCAAAGCGACTCACACCAATTAAAATTTTCCATATGTAAACGATTTTATTATGAAAATTATAGATGATGATGAAATATCGCAACATATATCATGAGTATGACATATAATTCTCGAGATTTTGAATTGGTTTTGCTCCAAAATAAATTTGATCAACTTCATTCTTGGTATCTGAGCAAAACACTTAGGTATCTCATCGAGTTTAGTTAGTTTTTTATCATTAGTGTTGTTTCCAGAAGAAAAGACTTCACATAATACCCTTTCTCAGCAAATAATAATAAGGAAATTTGAGCGCTTATATCTAGTCAATTGATGCATCTTTTAAGAAATTTACTCAATCATAAAGAATTTATATATAAATAAGTATATAATGAACATATTCAATATAAACAAAAATGAATAATTATTGTCCCATAAAATAACTCAATAAGAGACTGAAATCAATCAATGTGGAGCAAAGATATTTCACTTTTTCACCTCATGTTCCGAGATATTTATTATTTACTCATTATTTTAAAGAAATCTTCATATTGAAAAATTATTACAAATATTGAAAGTTAGATTTTGCAAAAGTTAATCTTTCCTAGGATTTGGTTAAAATCTTCTAATGGTTGAAACCATCTTTTTGAATGATTTTCTGAATTTTATTAAAACATTAGTAATTATTTTCCAATGTAATATCAAAAATGTTAATGGATATGTCTGTTAAAATAGCTGTGAATCAATTATGTTAAAAATTAGAAAAAAAAAATACAAAATTATGGGTGAAACAAACAGATAGTTTAATTGAAAGAGTAATATCAGTTATATGAAGTCTTCCCATTCACTTAATGCGTCTTCGTCGTCTGTTTCGAACGTTCCGTATGGAAGGGTCAGAACATTCGGATCTGTTTCGATTTTTCTCGGTCGCATCTTCTTAGAAGCCGTAATAGATACAGAAACAGACCTCTTTATCTTACTTTTCTTTTCAGATTTGTATGGGGTTTTTGGTCGCTCTGGTCTAATGGTGGATTGTATGATTTTCGTAGTCAGTTCGATTGATTGTTCGCTAGACAACATGTTTTCTGGCTTGTCGTAAGGTCTTGGCTCCCAAAATGAAGGGATTATCTGAACTTCATCAAGCTGATTGTATCTTTCTGCTTTTTCTGACTCCTCCTTGGTCATGACAAGGTTCATGTCCTTCTGGAGAAGGTTGATTGCCTCGGCCGGGTGCAAAACTCGCTTGTAGGACCCGTAGATGATGCGGTTCTCGAATATTTCAAGTCTCTTGTGTAGCTCTGTATCATCTAAGTTCTTGTAATATCCATCTGGTTCTGTATCGGAATCATCATCGTGGCTGAAACACTCGTTTTTACTTTTACTGATTTCGGCCGATTCCCAGTCGGGAGTAAATACTCTCTTGGGTGTTAGAATCTTCAACGGCGAGCGAAACTTTGATCGATTTTTATTTATGTCAATTCTTAGTTTGTTTGAGATAGGAAGACGAATGGCTTCAACAGGCCCCTCGTCATCCTCTTCGTAGTAAGTAATTTTTGGCTTTTTTTGTGGTCGCGGAGGTATTCTGATTTTAATCGTAGTTTCTTCAGCTTTTGTTGCGGCTTGTCGTTTTTTCTGATCGAGAATATAGCAGTATTGAAGGATTTGACGGAGTTCTGGAGGTACTTTCTCTCCATTAGGCATCGAAGCAGATAAAAAAGGAAGCTTTGGCGGATCTTGCAGTTTGTCAACAGCTCTCGCTTCCGGCTCAGAGCCTGCCAAACCAAGGTCCTCGTTCGGACTTCCTATCGGCGAGCTCATAAAATAATGTTCTGTCCTCTCAATTTTTATTGCTACGTTTGAATATAGCCGCTCACAAAAAAAAACTGTCACCGATGAAAAAAAAAGTCCAAAGAAAAAAAATACACTCCGATAATTGTTTTCTAAGATTAATATCACTTGGAATAAGATTGTTCGATAAAGGTTGTATTTTTGATAGTTCGCTCTTAAGGGGAGTAGGGGTAATTTTAGCTAAAAGTGACACGCTTGTGAAGGGTGTGATTACCGATCGGTAATTTCGACAGTTTAGAATTTAAAATTTTTTATGGAACTGTTGCGAGTTTCATAAAAAATTTAAGGAATATAAGCAAAGATTTGAATCAAAATCTTAGACCTAAGCCGCTCGATTCGCTCGCGGCTTCCGCGAATTACAGATCAGCAAAGATTTGAATCAAAATCTTCGAACTAAGCCGATCGCTTCGCTCGCGGCTTTCTTTATTATTTTAAATTTGCATATTTCCATCAAAAGTTCATAAGGTAAAAAATTTCGTTTATTTTTACTAAGAAAAAAAAGGTTTTTGATAATAAATTTATTTTATTTCGAAAAAGTAGCAATAATCGTAAAAGGGTATTGATAGGCTTGCTAAAGTAACTAATTTTAGCTGTCAAATACTTTTGTATTTTGAAGTAAATTAGTATAAATTTGTTTTTACTTTTATTTCGAAAAAGTAGCAATAATCGTAAAAGGGTATTGATAGGCTTGTTAAAGTAACTAATTTTAGCTGTCAAATACTTTTGTATTTTGAAGTAAATTAGTATAAATTTGATATTATTTTAACTCCCTTTGAAAACCTCAATTTTCCATACAGAGGGAACGGGAATAGCATCCAATATTCCCTGAGAATGGTTGCGCATTCTCAGTTCCCTCTATATTTCGAACGAAGCTCTCATCGGTCTTTTTTTTAATACTAAACGTTTTTTTTCCCTGTCACTTTTAGCTAAAATTTGGGTTTGCCCTCTTAAGGGTGCACCCGCATGTACGTTTATTTGAGAGGAGGAGGATTACCCTCTCAATTTTGAAAGCTTCGTTAACTTAATATCTCGATGAATATTGGATTAAAATTGAATTTGCCCATACCAATATATCTGATACAATATCCTTAAGTTTTACTAAAAAGAATTTTTTAAAATCCCTGCAGATTCGGGGATTTTTAAATTTTTTGATTTTTTTCGAAAATTTTTCGGGAAAAAAAATATTTTCAGAAGAGCCTTAACGGCTAAGTTTTATGTTTAATGTTGAGTATCAAAAAGAATGGGCATCTGATATAGCCATCATATATCCCAGAAGCAAATAAAAATTCTGACTTTTTAAGCATAAAAAATGAAATTTTATTTTTGCAAAAAACAGGCCACCCAGATGTACGTTTATTTGAGAGGAGGAGGATTAAATTTTTGAAAGCACTAAAATTTGTAAATATGCTGTTATATAATATATGCATTATTTTTAAAAAATAAAAATTAAAGCACGTTAAAATCTTTTTTGATGAATTTTTACAAAAGCTACTCAGGATAATGCAAGATATGAGTAGTTAAACATAAATTTCAAATCAGATTTTACTTATAATAAATATTTTAAATTTCCGAAAATTAAGTTCAGATCGACTCTATACGTAGTAAATACTAAATAAGGTGCCAAAAACCTATTAAACAGTATCAAAACTATCAAGATTGTAATGTTTTTGAAGAAAAATTTATAGAATTATGGACTTCAAACAGATATTATGTAAATAAAAATAATATAATGAATTTATTTATTCGTATAATAGCAGTAATAAGTCGATTATTCACTTCTACTTCTGAGATTTGAATTTAATTTCGACAGAAAAAGAGATTCAAGAGGAAAATACTAGGGGATACAAACAGCCACCATGACAGGATTATTATGGAGCCAAGTTGTATTTTTTGATATTTTTAGAGTTTTCCTACCTATTTAGGTACCAAGTTATTGCTTAAAAATTAAGGTTCTAAATTCTGAAGTTTACATGATCCTCCCGGGCGCGCCCTTAAATGAATGAAGTTTTTCTTTGGTATTTTTGATTTTTCATTTGAATTTTTGGGTTTGATCATCGATGATGTTGGCACTCGTATTTTCGATCATTATTTGTGTTGGAGATGCTAGATTCGAGTGATATTTTTGTTTTGTTTTCGGTGAATTGAAAATTTTTTGTTGGATTTTTAAGGGAAGTAAATTAGCCGGAGCCTTTTTGTCTGTGATAAATAGTCTTTGTATTATGGCGAGATACTTTCTATCTGTAATCGAATGCGAATAAGGCAAAGAAAAATAATTTGATGACTTTTTCATTGTTTGGAACAAGCGGCGTATTATCTTGAATATGGATCGTATGTATCGATGAAACATCGTCACGAAAACAGTGGTTTTTTTGTCAACGATATGTCAATAAATAAAATATTATAGATACAAAGGAATAGTATGGGGAAAATATCATATTATTCCATCTTGGATATATGGTCAGTCTCTTAGCTATGATTTTCCAATAAAAATTATTGTAAAATCAAAAACGCAAAATTAACTAAAACTGAGAGAGGGGATCGACGCTACACATTGGGTTTTTGCATGGCTACATCTAATCGACGTGGTTATCTCTTCAAATAAAATATGAGATAAAAATGAAACAAAAAAATTAAGGGGGCTTTGATGGTAGAGCGGTAATTGTATTCATTGGGTAGGTTGATGGATTAAGTTATTTGAGTCAATGTATGCTTCTTTTGGGTGTTTTTTGTATCAATGGGATAGAAAAGGAAATTTGGATAATGAAAAGAATCCATGGTATCCTTATAAGATCTAAGTTAGGTAGGTACTACCAGGAACGATTACAACAAGTCACACGCAATAGGAAATCAAGATTGTCTTTGAATTGTAGAGGAGGACATCTTGTTGAAGAATTATCGTTAGTGTAGTAGCTATGTGATCTGAGCTAGAGCATTACTTGCAGTATTCAAGACGTTTGTAAGCAATGAAATCCGAATCTTACTGAGGGACAGGGATACACTCTGGCAAATGGATGTGAACGATATTACATCATGTAACTGCTACTGTTAACGGCGAGTAACAAATTGAACACGCAAATACAGAGATTTTATGAAGGAAAATCTAATATCAATATTGTCACTTTTTGGTAAAGATTTTTTTTGCTTTTTGAGAAAACCATAAGTTTTTAGACAGAACGGAATAAAAAATATACTTTCTTAGGGCCAAAATAATTTAAATCTCTGAATAATCTAATATAATCTGATCAATCTAATAATTGCATAAGATACGCAGTAATCGCTTTGCAGAACTTCGGAAATATGCCAATTTATCCCTTGTAAAGCTCAAATCTGATCCAAAATGAACAGAAATGTAGCTAGGTTTCAATAATGAATTAAGATGTATGCTGACGGTGAATTAAATCCTAACAAACGCTTTTTCATATATAGTTGTGAAGATTTTAGGGATTAAACAAAAGATTTCAATATTATTTAATATCAATAGAAATGAATATCATGAGGAAAATCATGATAAGTTAGAATTTTAAAGACCTAAAAATATATCAGCGTAATTCAAAAGATGACGCTTCATCTCCAGCATAATTTTCAATTTGATGGAATATTTTCATTTAATTATAGAAAGAGCTATCTATCTTTTACATTCTTTGAAAAAGAATCTTCAGCATCAACTGATCAGGATGTTGATCATGTAATTTTAACATTTTTAAATTCAATGACCCATTTAAATGCATACGGGTAAGTATAAATTTAAACAAGTTAGTAGCAAGTTAGATATGCCAGCCTAACACGACAATTTTGACAAAATGAGGAAAAATCAAATTATATATTGTTGTGAAGCGTATTAATAGTAGACACAATGTAACGATACTTCATAATTCTTGATTTCAACACTAAGGAGTTGATTTCATTAAGAATTAACATTCAAATTTGATAAAAAAGTTTGCCATTTTCTTTGATATTTATATATTTGAAAGCTGCCATATAAATAAATCATTAAATTTATCCCATTTTAAGGGTGCACACGAGAGGATCATGTAAACTTCAGAATTTAGAACCTTATTTTTAGGCATTATCTTGGCTACCTATTTAGGCTCGAAAAGCAAAAAAATATCAAAAAATACAACTTGACTCCATTATGACCCTTTCATGGAGGTAGTTTTTATCCGCTAGTATTTTCCCTTTGAATCTCTTTACAATTCGAAATCAAATTCAAAACTCAGTAGAAGAAAGGAAGAATCGACTTACTACGGTTGTAATACGAATAAATACATATAGTTAATTATTTTTATTTACATAATAATTGTTTGAAGCTCATATTCCAACAAATTTTTAAATAAAAACATTAAAATGTTGAAAATGTTCATATATTTTAATAGGGTTTTGGCACTTTATTGAGGAATTACTACATACATAGTCGAACTGAACTTGATATTTTGAAATTTAAATTATTTATCAAAATTAAAATTTAACTTGAAATTTATAATTATTTAGTCATATTTTGCATAATTCTAAGTAGATTTTGTAAAAAATCAAGAAAGAAAAATTTTAACGTGCCTTATTTTTTCTTTTTATAATAATACATATTATTATATAATTAACATATTCATAATGTTTCACCCTTTCAAAAATATAATCCTCCTCCTCGCAAATAAACGTACATACGGGTGGCCTCTTTTTTCAAAAAATTAAAATTTGAAATTTTGGGCTCAAATATTAGAGATTTTTTCAACCTTCAACGATATATGTTGTCTATATCAGACCTCCTTTCTTTTTGATACTTAACATTGTTCCTAAATCTTAGCCGTTAATGCTGTTCTGAAAATATTTTTTTTTCGAAAAAATTCGAAAAAAATTCTTAAAATTCAAAAATCCCTTAATTCCTGAGGATTTTGGAAAAAAGTTTTTACATGAACATGTGTATATTATATGAAGTATATTGATAAGGTAAAAATCAAATTTTATTGCATATTCATCGAGAAAATAAACTAACGAATCCCTCAAAATTGAGAGGGTAATCCTCCTCCTCTCAAATAAACGTACATACGGGTGCACCCTTAAAGAAAAAAACGATTGTTAAATAAAATAGTTCTGATTTTATAATAGAGTAAAATATACAAAAGTTATTTATTCATCTGAATCAGATTTTCCGTCGAGATCAACCCAATCTCCTCCTTGTTGATCCTTTGGCTTTCTAATATTGCCAAATGTTTTCAAAGCAAATCTGTTGGAAGTTGACTTAGCCTTGTTCAAAGCCTCGAACTTATCAGCCAAAGAAGTCATTGTTTCTGAAGGCAAAACTCTCAACAAATGGAGTCCTTCATCAGTTTGTTTGAGGAGTTTGAGTGCGTAGCAAGCACTTGGATATCTATTCTTATCTAAGCTCAATGCCAAGTTAGCGACTTTCTTGAGACACAAACCCAAGAAAGATGAGCAATCATTAACAACTTGTTTGTTGCAAATCAACAAAACTAAATATGATAAATCATCTGTTTCAGGAACTTTTTCTTCTTCTGTAACCTTAGACAAGATTTTAATAGCAATTTCTGTTTGTCCGGACTTCAACAAACGACCAACTAACAATAAAACGTTCTGATCGAAGTTTTGGCCAAGTAAATCGCTGATTTTGTCTGAGCATCTCTTTGTGGAAATAACATAATGAATGGATAAATTGACACGTTTTTGTAAATCTTCAATTTGAAGGATTTTTTCTTCATACAAATCCTTTGATTCTGTCTTCAAAAATAGCAAACTGCAGAGTGATTCGTATTTCGGCAAATTGATGAATTTGTCGAAAATTTCAAGTCCATGTTTCTCCATGAATTCATTGTCAGCATTCTTGATTATTCTGCAGTAAACTTCATCATTGTAAACTGCATTTGTCACGTAATCATAAAATTCTGACAATAATTTATCATTTTCTGACAGTTGCCTTGAAAATGCGAGTTCAAATAAAAGTGACATTTCACTTGTCTTTGGAACATTCTTAAGACAATCGCTCTTATAATTATCATCCAAGTTTTCAAGGAATTCGAATGTAGAAACGATACCTCTGATAGAAGCATCGATTCTCCATTTCTCTGTTGATTTGGATGATGTTTCAATAAGGAATGGACATAATTTGTCATATGTCGCTTTTTGAGATTTAGTAGTACTCAAAGCGAAAACCAAAGATTCCAAAATATCACCGAATGAAACAGAATAATGGTTTCTGAATTCAGCAGCTGTTTGCCATTGTTGTGAAGATTCTACTGCTTTGTTAAATACATAAGCAAAAGCATCTTCAAGTGCAACAGCAATTTTTCGTCCGTTTTCTTTAATTTTATCGTTATCGGACTTTATCGTTGTTGAAATGATGTATGAAGCGAAATTAGTTCTTGGAATTGTATCATTTGCATTGATAACTCCGTTCGTGATTTCTTCAATGTAGTTCTGCAACTGGCCGGCGTTATTTATGTAATTGGTGTATACTCTCAAGAACTCTTCACTAACGTGCATCAACGATAGAGCGTATTTGAGAGCAATTGAAAATTGAGAGTCGTAAATGTCAAGTTTGATTGCGCCTGCGAAATTGGTAATAATTTCAGCAAATCTTTGGAACGACTCCATGACCATTTGATCGTCACTTGTTTGGGAAGTAACAACTTTGATTAATGCAGTAATTGTATCATCTAATGCAGAAGTGTCACTTTTCTCTTTAATTCTGAGAATTAAAGGTTTCATTGCTTTTAGAACGGATCTTTTGATTTCATTTCTTGCTTCAATTGATGTTCCTGGGATGATTGAAGAAGAAATAGTGTCTTTCACGAGGTTGACCCATTCATTAACTTTATCAGAATTCTCTGAACATGAAGAGATGAATTCAGCAATTCTTGAATAAGGAGAAATCTGATAATGATACAAAGCAGTGTCCATGTACTCGAAAATGTCTTTCCTCAAATCACAAATTGCGCCACAACTTGCGTTGACTTCGAAACCAGTTGATTTGCGGTTTGCCAGTTCAATTCTTGGTTTAGTTACTGTCTTCCTTGCGAAGTTCAATGCTTGGCTTAATGCCCTGTTGTAGAAAGCTTTGCAGAAAGGAGATTTTGTTCCTGCAAAGCATTGTAATGCTTCACCAATAACAACGGAAAGTGATGAATCATCACTGGATGAAACTAATGGCATTAACGAGATAAAGCACTGTGAAGCATAGAAACAAACAATAGGATTCAATAAATTACGAGAATTCAATACACCGACCAAAAAGTGAAGTGAATTTCCAGCCAATGTTTGAGACAAATTTGAGAACTGAACAGATTGGAATAACACGGATAAAGCGAAGAAAGCGTAATTAGAATCATTTCCTTTGCACAAATCACAGAGATCTTGTTGTGCATCCATGATAAAAGCGTCATTTACATCACAATTATGTAAAAGTGACGCGTATAAGAAAGATCTTTGTCTTGGAGGCAATTTCTTCTTGTTCTTGATGAGCTTTGCGAAAGCGTGTTTGTGTCTCCTGCAGTAGACAGAGAGGATCTCTGCAATCATGTTTGTTTCTGTGTCGCTTTCGGATTTTCTCATCATGGAGAACAATAATTTGTGGATATCTTCGGGGAGAAATTGAGAGGCATCGTTGTTTTTGCTGAGGGCAAGGAGAAGAAGTAAATTGACCGGGTGTGTTTGGTCGTATTTCTCGTTGTGAAGAAGAACTGACATATCACGGTCTTCTGCTGGAGCATTGTTAACGACAATTGGGAATGCATCGAAAACAAGCTTCATTACCATATCCTTGTTCATATGTAAAGCGATTGTTGGCAAGAATTTGGCATCTGGCCTTCCCAAAATGGTATCTGGTTTAGTGTAGCGAGGATTTATCCTTGTTTCAATGAATTCTTTCGTGAATTGTACGGAAAGAGCGAATTCAAGTAAAGGATGGAATATTTTTGTTGGCAATTGTATCCTTGTAGCCATAACAAACGAGTAACTCATGGCTGCTGGTACTTGTTGGTATACAGGCATCTGCAAATAGATGGAAAGAAAAGCAGAAGCGGACTTTACAGAATGACATGAAGCAAGGAAACCTGTTACAGCGGAAGTAAGCAGTTTGACCTTCTTAGAACCTTCTTTTGGAGATTCTAGAGCCAAGAGAACCCTGTTCAAACCATTCCTAATTGTCTCATCCGCTGCTGCTTTGAGAGCTCTTGCAGTTATGAACGCGCCGATGAATCCGCCCTTGTAGATCTTTGGAGATGGAAAGAATTTCTCCTGGTAAAGTCGGATGTTCTCTTTGATTGTCGGTGTGACCAAATTTGGATTTGAAGTAATTAACTGGGCAGCAATCAATGCCATGGCCACGAATTGGCGGCCAAGGTTGCTATGTTGTTCTGGTGGGTAAGCAAGGAAAATTGTGGCGGCTAAGAGCAATTCTCCGGCCAATTCGAAATTCTTTGTAGAAACTTCATCGTAGAACTGTAAAATCATACTTCTATCATCATGTGTCTCCATCATGATCTTACTGGCAATAGCTGCGACTGTTCTGTCTGAATCTGTGTCGTATGATAAGTATCTGAGTATCAAAAGCTGATCTTCGTTATCTTTTTCTTTTTCTACGGCTTCGAATAATGATTTCTTTGTTTCGACTGAGAGTAACTGTGAGAATTGTTTGATTAGTGTTCTATCTTTCTTTCTGATGAGAGCTAAGAACTTTGCAGCGTTCTTTTGAAGAACTTCATTATCCATGAATTGTAATAACTTCGAAATAATTTGAGATGGTTGTTCTAAGTTGATTAATTCGTGAAGAACAATTTGTAATCCGTTTTGTGTTGGAAGAATGAGAAGCATGCAATCTACTACATAGCAAATTGCCTTCTCGCGAAGGAATCTGTCTGATACATCGCTGAGAATAACTAATGCGTTCTTTAAAAGCTTTTCAAGGCTGTAGTGATTGGATTTGATAAGCTTACGATACATTTTGATGCAAAGAAGACGTACAAAAATGGATTGGTGATGGATATTTGCGTCGACCACTGAATATAAACTTTTTGCGTACTTTTTCGTTTCGCTAAACGCGGCTTTAAGGATATAGTTAAGTGCAAATAAGGCTGAATCGACGTTACCACGCTTAGCTTTCAAAAGAGACTCTGTCAAACTTCCCATCATTGCCTTGTTGTGATCGCCAATTGCGTCAACGACAAAGCCGATTGTGAAGTATGCAGCTGGTGAAGGATTTTTCTGAACGTAAGTTACTAAATTGAAGATTTTTGGTGCTTCTGGGAGCGAATATAAGAAAATGAAGCATTCTGCAAGTCTGTGGCAAAACTGTATTGATAGGTCGCCATCGTTGATGTTCATAACACTGATCAAAGTCTTTTCTGCCGAATCAATTAATTTTTCATCAGCTTTTTCTGAAACTGTTGTCTCAAAATCTGCAAGCTTTTCTGAAAGAATTTGCTCAGCTGGCTGCAAGTATTTCTGTTTGACCAGAAAACTTAAACCAGAGACTAAAAATTCCATAAAGTTTGGAGAAGGCGAACGATAGTTATCGTTCTGCTCACCCATGATTTCATTGTCATTTTTTATGGAAAGCAGGGGAATATTGCTATATGGAATAAATGCCCATGATATTAAATATATCTTTGTTAGAGATACTGGCAATTTTTCGATATCAAATCAGATAAATATTAAGATTTATGCATATTTATGCAGTACACATCATCATACAGTTCTCAAGAATTGAATAAGATATATAATTCACTGTGGTTTATAATGATTTGGTTAAAATTGCAAACCAAAATGTAGAATCCATCAATAGAAGTTTTGAGTGTCTTTAACAATAAGAAGTAACAACAATTTTCAGATAGAATTTGAATATAATTAATTAGAAGTTGGACATATGATCAATCTAAATTAATTAAATCGATATATTAAAAGTACATTCTATGTTAAATCAAAATAACTATAAATATTTGTTCATTTTTTAGTTTTCGATTTTTGATAACCTAATTATGATTAGGAAAAGCTTTATTTTTTCGTTGACAAAAATTATTTTTTGATTTTTTTTAAGTATCTAAACATTTTGCAATCTATATGAACTGCGTATATATAGAAATAATATGCGCTCAAATTTCTTCTGATGCCGATTTTGAAATTTGATAATTTCAATATCATGCCAATTTCAAGATTCAAGCCCACAACATTTTTGAAATGCCAAAATTTGTATATTCCATTCCCGTAAGAATAGAATTTTGAAGGAAAATCTCATTATTTTCGATATTTTGAATATTTTAATCACTAAAACAGAATTTTAACTCATTTCCAAGATATTTTTACTATCTATGTGAATTAAAAATTTATCGAGGAAATTTGTCAAGAAAAAAATTTTAAAATGAGCGTAGGGATGCATCGGCCTGCCACACCTTCATTTTACCCTGGTAATCAACCATACGCACATGTCCAATCACCTGCTAGAACAGGAGAACAAGTTTCTAAATACATTAAAAATATTACAATACCATCGCAAAGACAAGAAGCAGTTCAGTATTTGAGTATAAATAGAGATACTATTAAAGGCATTGGTGTACAATTATGGGAAACACCAGCCGTAATGGTTGCCCTTCTTTCAGATATTATGTCCATCTACCCAGCTATAACATCTGTTGCAACAGTTTTATCAACATATCCATCGCCACTCTCTATACAACATGTTGTTCATGTTTGCAATTGCATTGCTCTTTTACAAAGCGTCGCATCTGCTTCTCCGGAAGTACGTAAAGGATTTATTTCATCAAATATGCCCATATATTTATTCCCGTTTATTCATGCAACAAATCAGATCAGAGAGTGCGAAATGCTTAAACTAGCTTCATTAGGTGTTATTAGCTGCTTAGCGCAATCAGGTGAGTCAGAATCAATAGACTATCTCATTCAATACGAATTCGTACCATTATGTTTACGTGTTCTTAAATTCGGAGACGAAATCAACAAAATTGTTGCTTCATATATTATCGCAAAGGTATTTTCAGACAAAAAAGGAATTCAATTTTTATGTTGCCAAAACGACCATCTCGAAACAGCATTACATATTTTGAATAAGAGCGTTGTAGATTTAAATTCACAATTTTCACCAAGACTTTCAAGAAACGTTTGTATGGCTTACGAGTCTTTACTTGCAGTTCAAGATGCACTACCTACTATTAAGAAATGTGCTATTGCTGAAATTAAAGATGCTCTAATCGCTACAGACACAGATTTCAAACGTCTCTATACGAGTCTCTTGTCATTGCAAACGAAGCATGAATAATATATCTATCTCTCTCATACTTCTGAATTTTTATTCGTATCTTGATGTTATTTATATAAGAATAAATAGGAATTTTCCTTAACTTTGTTATACTTTTATGTTATTAAAATAAAGATTTACTGATTTTGTGAGAGAATGTCAGAAATCGGTAGGTGCATCCTAAATCTATTTTTTTTTCTTAAAAATGGACTATTAATATAATATGATTGCATTATATTAGTGGGATCCAATAGATCTCAGAATGGAGTTTTTCCATTATTAGCCTTTGCATTTTTGTCAGCTCCAACAGAGATAAGATATTTAACAACTTCAAGATGTCCATTGAACGATGCGTTAATGAGTGGAGTCCATCCATCATTAGCTTTTCTATCTATGTAGGCTCCAGCAGAAATAAGATATTTAGCAATTTCAGAAAGCTAATTTTGTATAGATTATTTTGACAAAAAATCAGGTTGTCACGTTTTATAAAGCACATTCTATCAGCGTGTCAATACAAGTAGAATATATAGAGAAATCATATTCTGTGAAATTTGCCAATACAAGACTTATGTTATGTGATTGGAAACCTGCTTGATGTATTTTTTATGTCTCAGATTAGCAATTAGTTAATATCTGGTTTAGTCTCGGAATAAAAATATTAATGGATTCAAATTAAACAAACAATTTATATAAACAAACAAAAGAAATAAATTACCATTTTGATTTAGATTTCCATTTCTTAGCGTTAGGATCATAGCTTCCTGGAATTGAACACATAATTCTGATATTTGGAAATTCTTTAGCAACTGGTGGCATTGTTAAAGGATTTTTTGTTAAATCTAGTTCTTCCAGACCAGGAAGAAACCAAAGTAGTCTATCTAACTGATTAAACATGGTAATGTTATTATTAGACAGCTTTAAAATTCTTATAATTGTATTATGTTCTTTGCATTCTTGCCCAAGTCGATAGAATAAGTATTCAAGATGCTCCTGGATATTAATAGCAAAATGAAAATTAGAATTTGATTCTTCTTGCAATTTATTAAATAAATATGATAAATCCATGACATTATTTTGGAAATTCTTTTCGAATATTTTGGAAAACGTGATGGAATCTTCCTTAAGGATGCCGGGAAAAGGAATGACCCATAAGTGCTGATTTCCGAATTGACTTCCCATTGTATTCAACGCTGCTATATATTGCTTTTGATTTGGAAGGCAGAATGATATGCCATCTGCCCAAAGAGTTTTCATTTGTATATCAAGGTCGTGATGTAAATTTTGTTGAACAATTGATTGAATAAAACTAATAACTGCGTTTGGAGATTGCTGCTGAGGGTAGTTTGTTACAAAAACAGTATATGGATATGATGATGCATCTATAATTGGCTGATCTCCCTGATTAAACTTCTTTTTCCAAGTCATTTCAAATTCTTCAATTTTTTTGACATTTTTCCTAAATGTTAGTCACCGTTACGGTTTTTTCTTTGGGTGGCGAGCTTGCGAGCCCCCCAAAAAAGAAAAAACCGTAACGGTGAGCTCACATTTCGGCATAGTTTAAGTCTAGGTTTTGCATTTTAAAATGTTTGTTACCTTATCTTCTTTCAAAAAGTGGCAAAAATTTGTTTGAAATTTGAAAAAGATATTTTTATTTGCATAAATGACATTCAACTAAGCTGTAGCATGATTCTTTTGCATGCTCTAGTTTTTTTCTCAGTTCAATCTCCTTCCATACTCTTGCTTTTACCAGTAAGATCGCACCAAAATTCTCAAAATTTAAGATCTCCAAATTTTATGTCCAACTCCAATTATCAAACGCCCTCATTAACGCCACTCATAGCCATCTTTCATGCATGAGAAATCGTTATGAGAAGATTTTTTACGGCTAATTATCTGATTCAATTCAGATCATTACTCAAAGCCCCATTATTTATTTATAAATCCTTGTTTGTCGCCTATGCGAATAAAAATTCTTTTTATATTTTAAACAATTTTTTTTCACTTTGGAAGGAGAAAGGTGACTAACATTTTAAAAATGCAAAAACCGACTAAACTATTACAAAATTTTGAAATACTTCGAGTTTATTTCTAGATACAAACGATATTTACGAATAACATGATATTGGCACTTAGTAGATTCATCAACCCCATGTATTTTTCCCTTCTTTCCACAATGAGTGGGAAGATTTCTTCAATTCTTCAATCGATTACACAACATATAGAAACAAACACCAAAATGTCAGTATCCATGCTGAAAAGAGCTTTTACATCTCTCTTTGTTTCTTTATTTTGTTTGATGAGACAGGTGCAATTCGAATCACAGACACGACAAGCAATTATCTTAAATTTCTCATCGAAACAAGCTCATTTGACAAATGTGAGCACCAAAAGGCCAATGGTGGCTCTTTTTACCTAAAATCTACCAACGGCGAGTGTATTCAAGACCGAATCTGCAGTTTTGGCTCTAAAACTCCTAGAGAAGGCATTTATTGCTATATTGTCGTTTCATCTTCATCTCCATTTAAGAATTATTTTCTTGATTCAACAGTAACTTCAAGTGGTGATGAAACTAAACTTGGATACTATAATACCTATTTATATAATGGCGAAACATATATAAGATCGATTAATATTTCATTTTCAAAATTGAATTGCAGAAATTTATACAGAGTTTCTTGTACATCTAACTCAAACGCAACGCTTTCAACATTTTCAAACAATACATCTACTTTAAGTCAATACGAAGCCTATCATACAAGTTCATCCGATTCGTTTGAATTTAAACAACTTTTCTGTAATTATTTAGAAAATGAATGCTATAACTTTATTTACAGTTCTAATTATCTCTTTATCATTAATTGCAGTTTTTATAAAAATGACATCAAAGAATGGTATTTCGGCACTCAAAAACAAATCCGAGTTAAAGGCTGTTATATAGATATTCCAAGACCCAGCACAGGACCAAATGTCGAAATAGCAGATGAAGTAAGTTCCATGTTTCCAGTTAACCATCATTTGTCAACTGGATTATGTTTTGCAGAGCTAGAACTTGAATTTCCAGGGGAAAAAGAGCTAAGAACAGAAGAAAAAGAAGAAATCGAAGTTAACTACATACGGAATAATAACAACTTCAAATTCTTAGTTTTTCTTGTCTCTTCGATTTCTTTATAAACTTTTTGCATTCCTTGAAAATCTTAGAATTCGTCTAGCTTTTGTTGCATATATTTGAATGAAGGAATTTTTATGATTATTTTCTATTAAGGTCTTCTTAAATTTTGCGACTACAACTTCCATCGAATGTTCGTTAAATTTTCCATGTTTAATCTAAATGTCGGTATTTTTTGTTCATGTTTTAGATTCATCTTATCAACAATTGCTGAAATGCGAAATAATGAATTAAAGAGAATTGAAATTTTTATATATGAAAATATGAGATGGAATTAAATAGCAATTATTGCAGGTTGTGTTTTGAAAAACCGAATTTGACCATAGAATTGTCAAAATAAATCGGTAGAATTAAACATTTATTTGAAAAGTCTTCTAAAGAAGCTGGATCCTTTCTTAATCATTTTATATACTTCCTTGAAATCGTTTCCATGCTGCTTGAAAAGCATTTCTGCAAATTGTACAGGTTTCTGACCCCTTGAATCTTTTTGCTTGAGGTCGAAATTATCGCTAGAAATAATATATATATATTCAAGAATGTCTTTTCTTTTCGAATATATTGCTTGATGAACAATAGTTAACTCTCTATTAGACCATGTATCATCACGTCGAGCTCTGCGCCAATCTGGTTTGGTATCTGAGATATATTTAAACAGTTCAACGCTTGAAAATTTGGCAGCATATACTAATGCAGAGCTATTTCGATAGTACGAAAGTTCTAGAGTCAACATGAACTTTATCATGTCTATATTATTTTCAATTACAGCCATACGCAAGGATGATGCGTTTTCTAAATTCCAAGCATTAAGATCTAAACCCAGTGTTAATAGGTATCTCATCATATTAACTGAACTAGAAATTGCACCAGCATGCATCAAAGTATTACCAGTTTTAGTACTTACGTAATCCTTCTTAAATCCTTTTGAAAGGAGGTAGCCAACCATATCGATGTTTCCTATATTTGCTGCTATTAACAAAGGATCATTTCCATTGTTATTTTCTACATCGAAATTAACGCGAACTTCAACTAATTGCTTTACAAAGTTTAAATTTCCTTCCTTACATGCTCGAAGAAGTATTGTATTTCCATTTCCATCTCGCCTTTCTGATAGTCCTAAAATGTTTACTGTTATAATTGCTAGTTCAGGATCCACACTAGCATGGAATTTTACTTTATTATAAGTTTCATTGAAATCGTTGGCACCATATTCATGAATAAGTTCCATGCAACAACCTGCCACTTTCTTAAGCTCTTCATGTTTTTCATTCAGCTGCAAGTGCTCTACCAAAAGAGCTTGGTATTTTAAGAATAATTCAGTATATGCAGCTGCCATCGTGGATGGATCCATGTTCTCTGGATTTTGTTCAATTGCGGTTGAATTACTTGATGAAACATCATTAACATGCTCTTGTTTCTTATCAAGTTTTTTCTTGTAGCTGCTCAATCATTTGTTGTTTCTGTTCAAGTTCAACTTTAACAGTTTGCAAGTAATCAGTAAGTCCTTTTGATAATTCTAACTTTAAACAAGATTGAAGAGATTGAAGAATTGTAATAACATCATCTAGACTGTTAACAGTTATTGTTGCAGGTTGAACGTATTGGAATAGTCTCGATGCTTTGAAATTCTCTTTTCCAAAATTTAGGAGAGAAATAAATGTAGTTGGATTAAGATTTCCAGCCTTTAGAATATTTCTGACCTGATCCTTATCATAGTTCTGAAAAAGGGATTTATTATCAATAAACTGCTGAAGATTTCCAATGATAGCACTGTAATCTCGAACAAGACCTCCTCCTTCCATGAAAATTTTTTTGATTAGTTTTTCAATTGCTAATCGACCATCGTTTTTCAAAAATACTTCCTTTATGGTATTAAATAAAATTTGAGATATAAAACATTCTAAAATAATTGAATAGGGCGGTTAAAATTTTTTTTAAAGTCGTATGATTTTTTTTTTCATTCCAAATTATTAAATCATATGTGATTAATCGTGGATATTATGATTTATGATTTTTATCAAGAATATTCAATGTTTTAAATTCATCAAAAATAATTTTCGGCTTCTCATAGATATAATTTTATCGCAATTGTTTATTTCTTAATAACATTCCTTTATTTACATGAATTAGATGCAATAATTGACATTATTTTATCTTTTGCTTGAATTAAATCATTGAAGAAATAATTTGAATAATGGTCTTGCTTGTAGCGAATCATACCTGTTTTAACGCCAATAGGGATTGCGTTAACCTTCAATGCACTTTCAATGTCATCGTTGGTATCTCCAATATGAATAACACACGATATATTGGATCTAGTGTAATTATGAGCTTCTCGAATAGCTTCTCTTATACAATCTTTTCTTTTCAGATTATCTCCAAAGCCACCAATAAAAGGAACAAATAAATCACTTACTTCAACATAGCTAATCCTATATTTAGCAGTTTCAAATGTAGCTCCTGATGCAAGACAAACAAATGTATTTTTGCATTTTTTAATTTCATTAACAATTTCTCGTATTCCATTTGTTAGTACAGGCTTGTTCATATTGGAATGTATAAATGATTCATTGTAAAACTGTAAAAAATCATAAATTTCTTTAGGGGAAGAATGACCTTGATGCTTATTCAAAATGCTCTGAGCAGTTGCAGCATCTGTCATGCCAATAGTTAGCTTTCCGAAAAGGTCTTTTTTAGAAAGAAATTTATTTGTATTAAAAAATTTTTGATATGCGGAAAGAAATGCATTCAGTCTGACTTCTTTACCATCCAAGCAATTCAAAATTGTTCCATCAATGTCAAAGGTGAACAAAGTCTTGCAAGAATCAATCATTTTGAAATGATTTTTTTGAACAAAAAATTAACAAAACAGCATAATGTTATGTTATAGAAGAAATTTAAATTAAATATGTCATAACTGTTCAACCAAATTTTAGATGTTTTTTATCTTTTTTTCACTTGTTTTATCAGCAAGAGAAAAAAATGGAATGCTAGAAAGTAATATATTATGGGTTAGCGAGTATAATTTAACAGAATCTCTTCAAGATAAGCCTGCATGTCTATTAATGGTTATATCCGAACCAGATAAAGACGTTCGTTTTCATTCAATATCTGATTTCATTACAGCAGCAAACACACTTGGATCTAGATGCTTTTTTGCCATAATGTCTGGCGAAAGAAACTATAAATTTACAAAATCACATTCAATTAAAGACGAAAAAGCATACTTTTTCTTTAGATACGGAATATTGATCCATCAGTTCAATGGAAAGACTACAACAGAGGGATTAGTCGATTTTACAATGTCTAAAACCGGAATTCCGTTTACAACATTCGATGATTACGTAACAGCTCAAGATTTTATTGAAGGACATGAAAATGTTCTCGTGCTATACTCAAATTCGTTAAAAGGAAAGCTTTTTGACAAATTTAATTCCATTGCATCTCAAATGCGCGATAATATATCATTTGGATTATGCCCTGATGAAGAAATTGCTTTAGAATTAGATATCGAATCATCCCCTGCTTTAGTTCTTTACAGAAACGCTGATAAACAAAAAATTTTTTACAAAGACTCACTCAAAGATTCTACAGAAAAGGACATTTCGTCATGGCTTACCTATAACATGAAGCCAATGTTCCATCCTTTCAATATTAATAATCAAAAATCTTATATTGGCGGTTTACCAGTCGCTTTGTTCTTTACACCAGTAGATATCGATGCAAAGAATGAAGCCTTCAAGTTTATTTCTAAACTTGCCGCTCAATATAGTAATGATTTGTATTTTGCCCAAATTGATGCAGTTACAGGTAACAGATTCATGCAATCGCTTGGCTTTAGTCGATATGCAGATCCTTGTGTGGCCATTCTACACTATCAGAACAAAAAACCACTGAAATATCTTTATGATGAAGAAGCTGAATGGAGTTTTGAAGATGTTTCAAACTTTTTCGGAGAATTCCTTGATGGCAAACTCAAACCTCGTATAAAGAAGTCCAAATTACCTGAAAATGATAAAGGTCCAGTATTCGAAGTTAATTCTGACACACTGAACGAAACAATTCGTAATAATACTGTTATATTATATTATGAACCATGGGATAACGTATACAATGCGTTTTTGAAGCAATTTGAAGAAGTTGCAAAAGAATATTTGAATCGAATTAAATTTACAAAGATAAACGTTGCAGAAAACGACATTTTCACTGGGATGAGAATTAAATCCACTCCTGCAATTGTTCTATACAACAAAGGAGAAAAAATTTTATTCAAAGGTGAACTAACAAAGAAGGAACTTATTAATTTCCTTAAAGACGAACTCGATGACTTCATGGACTTATGATTATAACTATTTTAATTGTTATTTGTAAATATTGATATTATTTCATTATATACTGCTTTACTATTTAATTATTTCAGTGGTTTTGTTTTATTAATTGCAAAATCTATTGTCCAATTTTGGGATGAATGCTTTCATGATCAAAATTGAACTGATACAATGGAAGGATATGCAGCCACTACTTTCAATTAGAGTATGTACAAATCGATTGTAGTAGTTTAATAAAAAAGATTTTGCTACAAAAAGAGATTGCGAGAAAAATGAACAAAATATGAAAAAGCAAAATAAATTTTGAAGTAATTGGTTTTGCATTATAATTGGTTCTAGTATAGTATTTTGTTGGAATTCTATTTCTTTCTATATCTACTGCTATTTTATTACATTTTCAAAATAAATAATTCTTTTGTTCTTCATCATTTTCGTCGATTTCTTTCAAAATTCCATAGAACAATAGTAAAATATTATTTCTTTTGAAAGTTAGATTGGTATTGAATACTATAACAATAACTTATTTATAGTCCAAAATTATGTATTAGTTCTAATCATGCTTTTTCTTGTAGATGCCAAAGCAAGCCATATACTGAAATTATTTTTCCCATAAAACTCGAGAGCTTTCAACAAATTGTATAATGTTATTTACATAGAAGGCCAGTTCACCATTATCAATTAATTCATCAAGAGAGTCGTAGACATCTTGATTGTCGAAGATCTGAAGAAGATCTAGTTTTCCTAGTATTTCTGCTTTTTCACAGAACTCAGAAACAACAAAAATTACAACTTTTTGGAATTCTGGTATATCATTTTGAATAAATTCAGAAAGAAGTTCTGCGAACTCAGGACATATTAAATCTCCTATCACTTTCTCTGCTTCTGTCCTTATAACTGTCTTAAATAGCTTTTCTACAAATTTCAGAGTAGAAAATCTGAGATCATATGATCCATGTTCTATATATCTAGGAATACTATCAATAATCTGTGATGATGCAAAACTTTCTATAAATCTATGATGGTTTTCTATGACAAAAGTAGCAAGTTTCATGATTAAAATTAAATGATTTTCTGGCCATTGATTTGTCAATAAAATATCCCAATTTATACAAAATATACACTTAATCATAGACTGTCGAAGTTCAATCGCTGACTCTTCTATTACGCCTTTTGTTGAATAAAGAATTTCTGTCAAAACATAAAGAAAATTCAATGCAGAATAAGAATTTGTCAATAAAACCTTTTGTTCTTCATCATTTTCGTCGATTTCTTTTATTTTTATCGCTGCAATTGGTAATAAAAAGTCAATTACAAAATCATCAAAGTTAATTATATCAAAAATCTCGTTTTCTTCCTTCAATCTATGTGAATATTCATCAATAATTCCGGATATATCATGGTTTTGCGTTAATATCATTCTTGAAACAAGAATTGAATCATATAACTGTGAACCATTAATTGTAAGCTTAATTATAGTAGTAAAAGTGTAAATTAGTTGCTGAGTTAACTCTGGAAATCGTTGAATACTTTTTACATACTCCATTTCCATGTTAAAGGGGCATTCCAATTGAAATTCTTTGGATTTTTCGAATAATTTGTTAATTAAGACCAGCGTAAAGCCGATAATATCAATATCATCAGAGAGTAGATTTTCATGAACTATTCCTGGCATTTCTTTGTCGTTGATAATAATTTCATATGTTCCAATTCTGGAGTCGTTTAAGATTGATTCTAGTAATTGTAAAGAATTGCATGTAAACGGCGAGAATGGCCCAGCTAAAATGCTGATAATAAACGATAGTAAATCAGAATCTAATATGAATTCGAAAATATCTTGGTTTTCTGGAGTCATGATGCTTAAAAGTTGTTTTGTATAATAGTCAAATGATTTTGGATCCTTTAGATGGAATGAATCAGCCAATTTTGGAAAAATATCTTGAAATTCGTTTTGAAATGCTAATATTCTTTCTTCTGTTCCATCATTAGAGACTTTATCTTCAATCGTTTGAGGTAATTGGTCTTTATACTCTTCGTCCATTTAATATTTTTGTACTTCGTTATTTTGAAATTGAGACTTAAATGTTGAAACGCATAAAAATATCATAAAGATATTTTAAATGATATAAATTGTAAAATTGTGACTTTTTAATTTTTTTTTATGTCTGATCAAGACATTCACCCAAGCAAATACAGTATATTACGAGATACCTATAAATACTACATCGATTCATATAATGCGCTCTATCAGTTAAAAACAGAAAAAGAAGAAGAATTAAACTCAATTTACAAAATGATCAAAACAGAATTGATTGATTCAAAGAAAGACCTTCCACAAAATGTTATACGTAACATTTTAAAAATAATCAAGTATAAAAACCGCTATACAAAGTCATATTTGACACTTGCGAAACATATATATGATGATTATCATGTAACAGAGGTCAGCAAATTTCCACTCACTCCTAACTTCCTGTTTTACAAAGAATATGGAATTAAATTATACAAATCTGCTGATTTCAGATACATTTACGTAAAAAAATTCGAAATTCATTCAGAAAATACAATTTACAGGGCAATTATGTACAATGACATAGAAACTTTCATCGCATTCACTGAAAGAGATGGATTTGATAAAGATCAAAAATTTAGAAGCGATTTATATCCAGAATTATTCGATCCATACTCATTACTTGAATTATGTAGTTACCACGGTGCAGTTGATTGCTTTAAGTTTTTAAGAACAAAATTTAACTCATATATATCCGAGAATTGCCTGGCATTATCATTTTTAGGAGAAAATCCAGAGATTATGAGTGAATGTTTGAAATATCAAAAACCTGGCGGTTATTGTATGAAATTTGCAATTGCTTCTCATAACATTGATTTTGTTACATTCTTGATGAACAAATACAAAATGAGGATAAGGTTATGTAATTGCTTAAGATTTAAAAATTTGGAGGCATTTTTTGTTAAATTCGATCGAACTAATAATGTTGACAAATGCTTTATTTATTCAGCAAAGTTTGGTATTCCATCTCTTTGCGATTTTTTCCTTTCAGCTGGTGCAAATATCAATGAAACAGATAAAAAAGGAAAAACTGCTCTTATATACGCAGCATACAATAATAGAAAAGATACAACTGAACTTCTTATTGCAAAAGGCGCAAATATCAACATAGAAGATAACAGTGGAAGAACCGCTCTTCATAAAGCGGCACGTTACAATAGTAAAGAAACAGCTGAACTTCTTATTGAAAATGGCGCAAATATCAACATAAAAGATAAAGGTGGAAGAACCGCTCTTCATAAAGCGGCTCGTCATAATAATAAAGAAACAGCTGAGATACTTATTTCACTAGGCGCAAACATCGATGAAGTTGATGAAAATGAAAGAACCGCCCTTGATTATGCAGCATGGTATGAAAGTAAAGAAACAATCGAACTTCTTCTTTCACATGGTGCACGCTGCAACTCTTTAGTTTTCTGATATTATAAAAGAAGGATTTTAAGTAGATAATCTTTTATTTTATTTTTTTAAGAGCTTATTTAAGCAATGCAATATATATCATGTAAAAATATTCCTCTGAGGATACCACATCGCAAAAAATGTCTTTAATTTTGCATATGCAAACAATTTAACATATTTTCAGAGAATTGAGCTTCCATTAAAATCGAGTATTGAAAAGTCTATAAAGATTTTTTTTGAAAATTTGGCGTTCAAAAATTATTCCGTAGCTGTTTTTCAAAAATTATCATGTTTTTCTATGTTTTATAGAATTGCAAAATGAGAAGTTGAAGAAAATCACCAACTTCCCTTGTGAAGTGTAAACTTCAGAATTTTACTTCCCTTCTTCCCATATGCAAGAAGAGGGCGACCAAGTACAGACATGGAATGTCCTCTTCACGAAGAAAATAACACAAAAGCAGAAGAGCGGCTTCATGGATGGTGTTGCAACAATAACATATAACAGTTCTCGGAACATTACAACCATTACTGTTGTTGACGAGGAAGGAAAGCAAGTAACGCGCGGAAGAATACCACCAGATAAGTTACCAATAGATGAAGACTCAGAAATTGTGGTCTCTCCTGTATTAATTCGCTTCAATGACTTAGTTTCTTCAACAAACGTACCAACAAAGCCAGAACGACCACAATCAGTACTTACAATACAAAGACCTGGACTAAGGAGAACTAACACTCCAGGATTCAAACCTCCAACAAGAATTACACCAATAATACACGAAAAACCACCGAAACATGAGGAAGAAGAGCCAATACAGCCCAAGATAAAGCAAAAGCGAGAAGTAAGCGATGAATTAAAGAAGTACCAAGTTCAACATTTCAGAGGCGAATATCCAAAATTAAATGAAGAGCCAAAAGAGCAAAAAACAGTTCAAATTGAAACTAAAGTCATCAAAAAAGAAGAACCTACTACTTCAAGACGCAAAAATCCAAGAACTTTTGAAGAAATTTTACAATTCTTTCAAATTGACGAAAGCGAAGAAACAAATCCACCAAAAACACCCGAGATATCCAAATCTCCAGCCAAACAACACACTCCTACCAAAGATATCCTTAAATCTTTACAAAGATCTCAATCTCTTTCCTCATCTGATGAAGAAAACGATTCTTTTGTATCACACGGTCCACAACCAAAGATACAACCTGCAAACTTTGATTCAGACTCAGATCCTGACCTAAATGATTTAGATGATTCAACACAAGAAGAAAATCCAAAAAAAGACCAAATTCTTGATTGTTCTCAAATAAAAATCGACTTAAAATGGGAGAACACAAAGAAAAACTATGGCCAAGCTATTCCTGAAACATTCCAAAATTATGAAGATTACAAAACCGCTTTTATCGATTCCCTCACAAATGAATTAAATGTCAAAATTAGAGAAGTTTACAGACTTTACATGGCAGGACGGTTTTCAGCGGTTTACAAACCACCAATTTGTACTCAAAACAAAAATCATGGTCCGATGAAATTCGGTGTTGACAAAAAAGGCTTTTATTACTATCACTGCAACCAGTGCAAATGTTACAAACAGATGAATCAAGATACTGAAGTTCCTTTAGATAGAAAAGTACCAAGAGCTCCAATTGTCATTTTTTTGAGATCACGTGGAATATTTTCGAGTGATGCAATTTTTCAGAGAACGAAAAACATGAATTTCATAAGTATCGGTGCAACAGGAAATACTGAGAATGAATTTTCTAAGGATGATGTTTGGATATTGATTTTAGATAACAACGATAAAATTTTCTGTGTGTCAAACGGTTATGGTGTAGGAAGAGGCAACAAAATCTATTTGGATGGATTCTTTGATGACTTAAACAGATTCCCTATGACAACAAAATGTTTGGCAATTAAGTTATTCAACGCACAATCAGAAAAAAGTGCAATTATGAATTTGTATAACTTAAATCCTGAAAATTTGCCAATTTTGCCAGCAATTCTGTCGGGTCAAAAAGTGTCAGAAATTAACATGCCAAATATTGATTTAATTTCAATTGCTAATCAATTTTCTGACAAATATAAATTGAATGAATGTCAGAAAATGGCTTTATTATCTGTAGCTGAATCATTCAATGGAGAAAAACCAATTTTGTTGGTTCACGGTATTTTCGGTGCTGGAAAAAGTCACCTTTTGTCCGTTATTGTCACTTTTCTTGATAAAGTATTAACCATGGCAAATAGGGATGATAAAATCCTGATTGCTGCAACAACAAATGTCGCTGTTGATAATGTACTTTTGAATTTGTTAGATGACGGTTTTGACAATTTGACAAGAGTCGGAAGTGTCAAAAACATGTCAAGAAAAGTATTACCATATGCAACAGGAAACTCCGATCTTGATGAACTGAAAACTTTGCAGAGTATGGAAATGAACAAAGAAGTTGAACTCGCAATCAAAAACGCACAAGAAGAGAAAAGAACGAAAACATCAAAAATTGACATTTGTAGAGTTACAGGTGTAACATGTGCTGCATGTCAATTTGAATGTATTCAGAACAAGAAATTTACTTTTGTTTTGTTAGATGAATGTTCACAACAACCGGAACCAATATCTTTTCTTCCAATTTCATTCGGTTGTCAGCAATTGATTTGTTGTGGAGATCCGATGCAGTTACCTCCAACAATTTCAAGTCATTCGCCATTAGGATTAGGAAGACCTCTCTTCTCGAGATTGATCAGAGTTTATCCACCTGTTATGTTGTCTATTCAATACAGATGTCATCCATCAATTGCTGATATCTGTTCCAAGTTATTTTATAAAGGAAAAGTCACGTCAGGTGTCAGCGAAGAAGATCGTCGACCTTTGTATGAAATGCCAACTGTTTGCCTATTCAATGTTGTTTCGGGAAGCGAGAAAAGCATGCGAGGTAGCTATATCAATGAACAAGAGATCACAACAGTCATTAGTTTAGTTCGATGCCTATTGAAAAGAGGAGTTCCAAATGATCAAATCGGCGTAATCTGTTTCTACAAAGCTCAAGTTGATATGATACAACAGCCTTTATGTGATGATGGGAAACATCCTGTTGTCGATGTTTCGACAGTCGATGCATTCCAGGGTGATGAGAGAGATGTCATCATCATATCAACATGCAGGACAAACATGTCTACTTTCGTTGAAATGAACGAGAGAGTGAATGTAGCAATCTCTAGAGCAAAACGACATTTGTTTATAGTATCTAATGCACCTAAACTTCAGAGTTCTGTTATTTGGGGAACTGTTTTCATGTCTGCGTCGAAGAAACCGAACGAAGTATTCAGAGTAGACCTCCCTCTTCCTTTGATGTGGGATCCATTTCCTCCTCTTCTTCAGACTGAATAAAATGTTTATATATATTTACTTAAGCTTAAAGCTTATATCCTAATTTTCTATATTTATTATAAATCATTATATAGGGCCTAATATGGTTGTTATACATTTCTGTTGTTAAAATATAGATATATTGATTTTTAAAGCTCTTTAAAGAGTATGTTATATAATGGTAAGTATTCCCTTAAGGTCGACAAAACGATGCGTGTTTTTTTTTAAAAAAAATCATCGTTTGATGGGAAATTTCAGTAATTTTTGACACAAAAACATAGTAATGTCAGAAACTTTGAAAAGTCAATTTTTTAGTGTCAGAAAGTTTACAAATGCATACTTTCTGACAAATAGAGTATCAGAAAGTGCTCAAACATATATCAGTCCTATATATAAACTGAGTGAAAATATCTTATAATGATTTCTTTCTTCTATGCGATAATGAGTTCTCAAACATATATCTCTATCTTAAGAAAGAATTACATTTTCAATATTCTCTATAATCAGAGTATTAGAAAAAATTACATCCCCACTTATTTGTGAAATATTTTCAACAAACATATTAGATATTAATATTTGTATTACATCACATTGAATAATATACATACATGTGTTATCTTTAAAAGTACAATTCTCAAAAGCCGTTGTTCCATCAAACTGTGTATTTAAATAAATCGCACTTGGTGTCGTATTATTAATTGAATTAATATTTTGAAAATATGAAGGATTCGCATTATTAGAGTTCACAAATGAGTGTCCCCCTCCAGTCAGAATGCTTCGATAATTAGAAAATTTTTGATAAAAAATTGCAAATTTTGATGACGAAATCCCTGCAACTATATTGCATTTGCAAAATGTTTGGTTATTATTATTTATAAAAACATTTCCTCCTGATTGACCAACTGAAAATTGATATAAATTTTCGTCAATACCTAAATTATTTAAAGTAGAAAAATTACAATGATTTATTCCGTTTGATGACACAGTGGTTCCATATGCTTGGCCTGTGTTTGAACACCAAGATGTGTCATAACAATTTCGACATTGGACACAAGATCCTTGTTCTCGCCAATAGAATGAGCCACCAGACTGACGCTGATAATCTGTGAAACAAGAGCGGAAAGTAGTATCATTAATGAAAATACGCATATTTTCGGTTGTACTAAGGAATCTAATTCCTCCTTGTGGATGTAGGTCGACATAAATACATCTTCTGATGAAGAAAGAGTTTGCATTTCCTTGTGAGAATGGACCAACTCCATTTTCTCTGAAGAGGCTAATATATGATGTATCACCAAAGAATTCTCGCCATGTCCCTTCCTGGTGAACTGATAAGAATGTCATTTTCAATCATTATCATGATTTCTTTGATATTTTTTTTTAAAAATTCTTTGGTAATTCTTAATATAAGATATTCACAAGTAAATTATTCATATTAATATTGAATATATTAGGATTCATGCATGTAATCTGAATATCGATAAATTTGAGTAGTGTACTTTGAATATTTAGAGATAAGAATATATAGAAACTCTCGGTTCCTATTTCATTCAAGTCAACAGTACAGTTTGCATGCACATGACAAGAATAGCCAATTATATTATCAATTAAAGAGCATTTTTCAACAAAAATCGAAGAATTTTTTGAATTATAAACTAATGATCGAAAATATACAGTCGAATTATTTTTTATAAAAGAACAGCTTGATATATACGAACTTGAACCCCCTTCACACATGAAAATCGATGAGTTTGCAGTGTTATTTATAAATATTGTTTTTGAAAGAGTAAGAATATATGTTCCAGTATGCATTAATACATCACCATTCGTAGCAATGTTTGAAGAAATATAACAAAAGCTATATCTTCCATGATTTAAAATTCTTGATGAAGGATCATTCATACATGTATTGAATGAATGATTCAGAGATGATATATCACATTTAGAATGAAATCTGGGAACACTTGAGTATGATCCGTTACCAAAACAATTTTCAAAAGAAGACCTTTCAATAGTAGTATAATCATTGAAGATCAAAATTGATTGGCCGCTAAATGTTGCATCATAAACCGTGTTTCTATTACAATAAACATTTTTTATCTTTGCTTGCCCACTAGATTTTAATTTGAGGAATCCTCCTCTAAGAGAATTAAACAAGGAAGTACAATTTGTGGATTTGCAGAAATCAACAAATAATAATGTGTATTTTGAACCAGAATCAATGTTAATGCATCCATAGTCAAGAAGATCTAAAAATTCAACAATATAAATAAAATAGCTTCCTGAAGTTAAATGCATCGTTTCTTGACTCCGCTTTAATTTGAAGCCAGTTATATCAGGAAAATAGTGATTCCAAATATCTAAATATGATTCATGCATGAAAATCAAAATAATTGTCTAAGAAAATAACCAAAATGAAATAATTATGTTATGGCAATGGATTGTATCTTAATGGTAATCTAAATTAAGCAGCATATATGAATTCTGATCAGATAAACAAATAATTTTGAAAATTGGAATGTGATCAATTATCCTATGTATAATCATATGCAATTAATTATAATGGAACAAAAATTAGAATAAATCCTAGGCTGAGCTACATTCCAATAAAATTGAAAAAATAAAATCAGAGTACATAATAAAAAATGTTTTCATACGAAGATATCAAAAATCTTATCCAAAATACAGGCATGTGTACTTTAATAGACAATAATGAAAGCACGTAAAAAAAAATTAGAAAATTAAATTAATTATCGAACAATATGATCTTGAAAATAAAATTCTATTCTTTGATATTCTATATATTCAATTGGTCCGATTTTTTCATTACATATCTGAGGAATTAAATTTTAGTAAATACTAACTTTTTATAGATGATATGAGTTTTGATAAATAGTAGAATTAGTTTTGAGTTTTGAGCTTTTACAAAAAAAAATCAATAAAAAGATTTACTCCTTGTCCTCTTCTTCATCATGTTTCTCTTCCTTCTTTTCTTTTCCTTTATTAGCTTCCTTAATCTTATGAGCCATAATATCTTCGATGAGCATCAAACGCTTCATACGGTATTCATTTTCATTTCTCCTGTTATTTAATTTTAGTATAAAGAAGTAGATATATGCGCATTTACATTAAAATGATCCAATAATGAATTGAAACTGAAATAATTATATATTTCTAACAAAATGTATTAAATGATTCGAAGTTTGCAGATTTTATGGTTTTTGGGCAGTAATTTTTATAGTTGAGCTTCCTTGGACATTCTTCATAAGTGATTAACTCTGAAGTATTCAATTAATTTAAAATTTTTCCATCATATTCTATAGAGAATTTTAAAATGCATGTCTGTAGATTTCAAGCAAGGGATGATGTGGTACTAATGTCAACCATTATTAATTATTTTAAAGAAAATTATTATTTATCTCAATTCTTTTTCGTCTCACAAAATATTTCATTTTAAAATTATAGCTTGAATTAGAATCATAAACTGGTGGAATTCAATTCACATCGGAATGCAAGTTAAATTTATTGAAGATGGTGCCTATTACTCCAAAAAAATTCCGAAGAATCTAGATCTTATATTGGAGAGATTTGAATTATAAACTGATACTTTATAATATACAAATGAATTTGTGGAAAGCTGCGAAATGACTTGCGGATAATATATTTTTAATGAATATTTAAATTTAAATATTTATCGATAACAAAAATAATTATCATATACATATGATTTAGTTATGAATTAATTGTTCATATTATTAAGAGGAATGGATTATCATTCCGTCAAAATAAGATACAAATTAAATTTTTCTTAAACGATATTATTCAATAAGTAAATCTGTAGGTATAATATTTTCGATCCAATAATCTGAAGATATCCAACTTTTTGTTTGATAATGATAATGGAAAAAATTGAATAATGTTTATTTTTCCACAATAAGATTTTGATAATTAAATCCAATTTTATACATGCTTTTATTTGGCAAATCGAAATATTTCTTTTGACAGCCATTCAAATTCCACTTTTATGCATGAATTTTTGAGTCACATTTTATCTTTTAGAAAATGTGAATTTCAGATTTGATATCAAATTTTGAAGCGAACGATATACGTTTCAATTCGAAGCTATTGACATCATCTATTAATATTTCATTAAAAAGAATGAATGTCTTAATTTTTACTCTTACTTTTAATTTTATCTTCTTCTCAAAAATCCGGTTAAATAGATTATTTATATATTATCAAATTATATTACAATTATTAATTTTATCGAGCGTCAGATGAAAATTTTTGAAAAGATTTGTAAACTTATCAATTAATCTATTCAATTGAATATTATCAGTTTTTGACATTTCATTTTATAGAGATCACTTCATGGAAAAGATCAAGCCAAAAAAGAACATTAAAAGATTCACAAAGAAAGAGGATGAAGTTATTGATGCATTCATTCAAGAGCACTTAGAAGAGCAAGGCATAAATTTTTGTCTTACATGGCTTTTTTTCATTTTCAATGGAATTCACTCCCTCCGCGCCATAAGAGATAGGTGGAACAATTTCATCTCAAAAGATCATGCTGATTTTACAGAGGAAGAAGATAAACTCATTCAGTCTCTCTATGAATCTTTGGGGAATAAATGGTCACAAATTGCAAAGTACTTTGGAAATCGGAGTTCAACACAGATTAGAATCCGTTTTTATCATTTACAAAGAAAAGAAAAGAAAATGAAGAAAAATGATCAATATTACTGTTCAATGTTCGCTTTTTTGGATGACATTAATCTTTTTGAATAAATCATTTTCATAAACGCTAGAGAAATAATAAAAAAGAAAAATATATATAACGCATAAAAAATGCAGTTCTCAATTTTTTTTTCATATCCACCATTACTATTGTATTTGTAATAAAATACAAATACAAATACAAATACAAAAAAAACTTTTTGTTTGCTTCTAGGGGAAAAAATGATAGGATATTCTTTAAAGTTATATCGCGATAAATAGAAATTCATTTTTCCAGCAATGTTTTTATATCCATATTCATTTTTTTTGAATAAAAAATGTCGTGGGAAAATTTTTCTCTATTAATTTTGAGTTGAACGATTATTTTTATTCAAAATAAGGCAATTAATTAAACCATCAAATTCTATTAAAGCTATGTCAAAGACAGTTCATAGATTCTCACCAGATGATGATCAAATTATCCAATTAATATTCAAAACCTATTTTGAAAAAGAAGGTGAAAAGTATTGTCTTGATAAATTAGAAAAGATTTTTTCAGTTAATGGAAAACCATATCATGATAAGCGCTCAATAAAAGAGAGGAGGATGAATTTTCTAATAAGGAATGCTACTCCTTTTACGAAAGAAGAAGATAATCTTATTCTAAAATTACAAAAAAAGATAGGTAATAAATGGTCTAAAATGGTTAGATATTTTAACAACCGAAGTGCAAGACAAATTAACATCAGATTTAAACATTTAGAAAGAAAAATATTATCTAAAGGATGTTATGAAGAAAATCTAAATATTACACCAATAACACCCAATCAAAATATTCAAAATGATCAGCCTAATGAAGAGAATCTTTTTCAAATTGATGGATCAGATTGTATTGACTTCAATATGGATGAAAGTGATGAAAATCAATTTGCAAGTTTAACAGATATTTTTTAAATTTACTACTAATGTTATATTGAGGAAAATGAATTTTTTCAAATACCGATGTATGATGAGAATTCTTTCTAAAATGCTTGTGCGAATTCTTGAAAAAATAAATTCTTTTGTGCATACCGTTTTTTTTTCCATTGCATAGCAATCTCATAAATTTACACTTTTCCGACGTTTTGTCAGGGGCGCCAAGCGACCCAAAAATAATATCGTATGTCCGAGAATTTATCTTTTTAGCATGACCTTGAAAATAAAAAATTATCATTGTCGTCTTACGAAATTATAAGTAAATCATATTTTCCCATAAAACATCATGACATCTATTTTTCCGGTACCAAGCTGGTTTTCCAGACCCTCTATTTTTTACATCTTGTTTGAGTTAAATAATCAAATGTATAATCCTTGTTCAGAACTTTTAACGTTCATGAAAATTAAAATTGCAAAGGATTAAAGATATTTTTTTGTATTTTGACCGTTTCATAGCTCCCTCCAAATTGCGAAGGTTTTTAATAATTCTTTCATGAACAATTTCACATTTCACTACATTCTGGAAAAAAGTTTATTATTAATAAAAAATAATATGCTATTAATTTGAATAGGATGAATAATTTAAATATATATTTTAGTCAAGTTTGTTTTCTTCTATAATATAAGGAGCAATTGTTATCTTATTTCTAGTTATACATATAACAACATTAGATTGAGGAAGATATTGAACGCATATTGCTTCTTCGCCTGCATCAATTACAGGGAATCCAATTCTTCCGAAATATGCTTCGAAAATAAAAACTCTTCCATCGCTTGTTCCTGCAACTATGAAATCGAAGCCCCTTGGACTCTTAAAAGAAGACCAGCAGACAACATCGAAATCAACCGAGAAATGGCGGATTTGCTGGCCATTTATATTATAAGCATCAATGAAATGTTGTCGAATTCCGTCATTGATTAGATCTCCATAAACAACAACAAATCCCCAGCCACTTGTTACAATGATGTGGCGAGGAGAAATATCAATTTCGACAACTCTGTAAGTCTCATAAGTTGCCAAAGAAGTAAAGAGGAGAGCATTGTCTGATGTTCCACAAATAACTGTATGGAAATCTGTGGAAATACAAACAGATTTGATGCTGCTTCTATATGAAGGAATTGATGCAACTTCCGTCTTCAAATTATTTCTCTTGTATATATGAATTCTCGCGTCTTCACTTGCAATTGCGAGGAATCCTCCTGAAGCAGATATTGAGGAAACCAATTGCCTTGGTCTTGGCATGATTTCGCAAGCACCTGTGTTAATTAAAAACGCAATGACATCGTAATTAGAATTTCCAATTCCGCAATGTAATTTTCCGCCGAGATTAACAACTTCGCAGATATCCAAAGGAATGAAACCTTTTGCAGAATTAGGGATGAATTCGAATTGTGGTTCTGCATTATCTGTTATTAAAATATTAACTTTTGTAATCATATTTGCGGCCAAAACATCCAAAGAAATCTTTCCTCTTTCGATTTCTTCAATTGATGAAAAACTTGCTGGATAAAGAACTAAATTCTTCTGTATGAATCTTGCTAAGCAAGAAACATTTCTCTTATTTGTTACTCGCTTCAAATGAGGTTCATTAAACAGCTGAGGAGGAATTTGTCCAACTAAGTTAATCATTGATTCAATTTCATTAATTCTCATTGGCATTGTTTCACTCTTTTGTTGTTGTTCTTTCGACCAAATTGTGTCATACATTTCTTGTTTGAAAACGTTGTCACATTTCTCAGCATTTTCTCCTCTTTGTTTGTATCCCCAGACCAAATCAATCCAGTCATTCAATGTTGAGGAAACAACATCACTTTCAAGGAATTTTCTCATTTTGTAGACGAAATCCATCGCGTTCTTTGACCATGGAGGAAGAATTACATCGTTAACTCTTTGTCCATCTGTTTTTCCGAGATCGAATTGATCCAAATTCATCAGAAACTCAGGCATGCAATAGAATTCAGGAATCAATTCTCTGTAATCATTCATTTGAGTGATAACAGATTTAAATGCTCCGGAAACACTCAAGAACAATCTTGCTGCGTTATCAAATCTTCCACTTTGTATTTCGATGTGTAATGTTGTGAAAGGTTCCATTCTCATCAAATACAAATATAAAGAAAGAGGAGATGTGTAATATGACGAATACAAGAACGGACTAATTCCAAATTGAAGCAAATCCTTGACACGACTCTTTAAATCATTAAGTCTGTCTTTGCCAATTGCTCCAATTGGTTTCTTCAAATCTCTGTAATATTTGGAATCAGAAATATCAATTTTTTCTGATGTATAATCTTTGATAACCCATGGTAAGAAAGGATATTGTGAGCTATCATTATAAGAACGACCACTGTAAATATTAAGTAACATCAAATACTCGAAATTGGAAATTTCTCCATTCGCCCATTTTTCACTGAAATCGAAGCCTTTGAAGAACTCCATGAAATTGTCAGTGGATTGTACTTTGTTTCCTAATGATGGATAGTGCCTCTTCAGTTCTTTAAGAATTACAAGACCTGTGAAATTTGTGAAGTTTACAAAAAACGTTTGTCCGTTGTAAGTGAAAATTTCAATGGCCGTTGGTCTGTGAATTTTTCTTCTCAAAAGGATTTTCTCGATATCAGATATTTTGATTAATATTGATGATTTGTTTTCGATTCTAATTCTCAACAAATCTTCAAGTAACTCGAAATTACCTGTTTTATCTCCTTTTACAGTAACTAATTCGCATTCTGTGCTAAATATTACGTAGAACTGCGAATTGTTCTCTTTATGTTCTGTTTTTTCGTATTCAACAATATCTAATGGATGTAAAATTCTGACTTTTGGTTTCTGTTTTGGTAGATTTTCGAAAACAGCACCCGAATCTCTTAATTCGCTTGCAATCTTGTGCAAATCGAAGTGTTTGTTCCTTTTTAGAACAACTTGTGTATTGTTTGTGCACAAAATAAAGCTTTGTTTGTAATGTTTTACAACGTTTGACTTCGATTTCGTGTCCCAAGGTGCATTTTCTATTGTCATGTGTGACCATTTTATTCTCCATTCTTTTGCACCATTTTCCATTTCTTCTTTGATTGCTTCTTGTGTCTCCATCAATGAGTTACTTGAAAAATCTTCCAAATCTTGTGGTTTCATCTTAAATATTTCTAATCCTTTCTTGTAACTTTCTGCGGCATTCATTCTTAATGCGTCTAAAAGTCTCGCTGTGTTGTCACAGACTTCGTGATAGAATAAAGAATTCTTTATTTCTATGCAACAAAGTCTTCCGAAAGCGAAATCTTTGTATATGGAATTTGCATCTTTAAATGTTTCAACAAATTCTTTTTGTGGATGATTAGTTCTCATTAAAAATCCGCAAACTAAGAAACAGAAATCCATGAAATTCATAAGCTTGGTTTGCATCTGTATCCTAAGTAATTTGCTTGCAATTGAATGATCAATCCAATCACAATCAATTGAGATTCTCAATCCAATTGAAAATTGTAAACTTAGTACTTTTGTGTCATAAACAATTTTCTCGATATCAACTTCTTGATCTTCTTTCTTGATATCTTTATTGTAGAGCCATAAGTCGTTTTCTGTGAAGTAATCCCATCCAGAAACAGTGGAAACATCTCTCATTTGTGGCAAAATTTGAGTAACCTTTGGAACTTCGATTCCTTCTTTCTTTAAAAGTTCAATTAAAACAGGATTATGTGTCTGGCTGTCTCTAAAGAATAAGAAAGTACTAACCATCATATACAACATCTCTAAATCATTTTGTTTCAGTTTCACTCTTCCAAAAAGTGACAAACTCAAAATTGTTTCCAAGAAAATTGCTTTAATATCTTCATTTTGTTTCTGGAATGCTCTGCAGACGTGTTCAATGACTGTATATATTGTCAGCCATTGTGATGGAGTACAAAGAGCGAGGAACTCGAATATCATTTTCATAAGTATTTCATTTGTATTTATTGCAGCAACAACAGCCCAAACACACCAATTTTTAGGAATTGCGAAATCAGGATCAGGTTCTAATCTTTCCAACAACATTCTCATGTTTTCTTCTGCACCAACTCTATTCGCGATATAGCAGCAGAGATTGAAAAGTTCTGGAGCACTCGGCTGAGTAATAATAGAAATCTTCATTAGCATTCCTTGTGTTAAATATCCTTTCTTCAAGTTATGGAAAATTAGTTCTAAATGTTCTGTCAATGAACAACTTGTTATTAAGTTGTTTTTGTGGATTTGCATGATCATATCCAAAGTTGCAGTTGAAACAAATTCATCTGAACTCAATAACAAAGAATGCAAACCGCAGAAACTTGCAGGAGTGTCAAAGAATTCCTTAGCAGTTGATGACAAAGTTGCAAATTTGTTCAATAAAAGTAATAAATCATAAACTTGGTTTGGATCTATACAACTCATGCATTGACTTAATAAAAGCTTAAAGTCATTAATAGTTAATGAACCCATGTAGTTTTCTGAAATAATGTTCATTATATTGTGTCTTATTGATGTAATGATTTTTCTGTCACTTTTTCTTTCCATATCTCCTCTTATTTGATGAGTTTCTAATGGTAAATACCAACAGTAGATTCTCATGTAATTCAACAAAGTAGAACATGAAAGGAAATGAATAATCGTTGGTCCAGCAATGGGGAATAATGTGGATTTCCAATGTGAAGTGATCTTTAAAAAGTGACAAGGATCACCTGACATCCACAACTCGAAATTCAAAAGGAATGATTCCAAAATATCTATTCTCAAATCTTCATATGATAATTCTAAAAATACGTTATAAAATTGAGAATAAGTTTCGAAATTAAATCCTGAATATTTTGATGACAAAAGTAAATGAGAAATTACTTGGAAACCATCATTATAATGGAAGGCAATCTCTTGCTCAGAATTTGAAGTAATTATACTCTTAACTAAATTCAAAACCATTGGTAATCTGTCACTGACAAAACCGTTATTATCTTTGATGTCAAGTTGAGCGAAAAGTGGCAACAAAACATCCAATTTGCAGATTCTTATGATTGTTTCTGCGAAATTGAGTTGAGAAACAGTTTTTGCTGTCTGTGAGCATAATTCTAAAATATCAGTAGAATTCTTGTAAAAAATATTCGTAATTTCCGTTGAATAATTGTTTCTTGGACCAAGTTGATAAATGGATTTGATCTGGCTTAAGCTCAATGTGTTAAACAAGCCATGTGCGCCAATATCTCCGCATTTGGATTGAGATCCGCCGATTTTTAGAACAAAATTCTTAATTGAAGGGAAATTAATCGTCGCATCAACGACTTTTTCAATGTTTCCATCGAAGAAAATTTCAATTTGGTTTTGTTTATATGTCAAAGCCAAGAAGAACCATTTCTTTAGCGGTAAATTATCTAATATCACGTTACCATCGTAAACTAAAGTGTTTTGCTTCACAACAATTGCAAACAAAGAATTTTTCTCTTCTAAAATTTCAAATAATCTTGTAATAGAAGGAATATCCAAATAAATCCATGTAGTGAAAGTAAATCCATCATTTGGATTGAAGTTTCCATATGTTCTGAATTCAATTGCAAACATCGGTTCTAAAGGTAATTTTTCTTCAGGAATTTCTAAGTTTGATTTGAGAAAATCTGACAAAACCGCCAAATATTTATCGTAATATTTAGAGAGAACTCCATTTTCTGCACAGAACAATGAGATGAACTTATTGACAATGATTGGAGATGATATCACACAACCGATTTTATATAAAAGTGACAAAATTTTATCGACCAATTTTTCATCCAAAGATTTTCCATTTCTTTCATCCAACAACTTTTCTGTTAGATACAAATTGATGTCAGCACGATGTGCAGCGACACAATTCAAGTCGGAATAGTTTAACAACGAAGAAATGTAGTCAAGGACGTCATCCGTAAACAAAGGATAAAAAATATTGACAAGCATTTTGAAAATCAAAGGATATTTGACAATGTTTTGTTCTTGATCTTTTTGGTCGAATATCAATTTCTGTAATTTTTCAAAAAGAACAGTATCCAATGTAGATTTCTCCAGCATGTGCTGATAAATTAACATAAGTTCATCTGATGGTTCACTGACCATTGATATTTCTACAACATATCGATTTACGTCATCAATCGAAATCATTTTTTCATTTTTTGACAATCCTAAAATGAAATATTGCAAAACAACATCAACGAAAGCAGAAAGGTTCTTAAGAATGGCTTGGTCTTGAATAACAAATTCTATGAAATCTTTAACAATACTGTAACTGAAATTGTCAGGAAATTCTTGACACTTTTTGGAAAAAAACGTTCTCAAACTTGTAATGAATTCAATTGAAGTTTGTTTTGAAACATAATGTTTGACGATCTGGAAGACATTGTCTCTTGTTGATTTATGGTTCAATAAGTTGACAAAGAACGTGGAAAACTCGGAATAAGCGAAAGCAAACCTAATCATCAATGTTTCTTTGAATAATTCATTGATAAAGCGAAGAAAAGCAATTTTTGGAAGATCTGATTTGAGTTTGAATATTGTATTAGAAATTGTTGCGAAATACAAGAAGAGTTTTTTGTCTTTTGACATGAGAATTCGGATTTGTTTGATTTCTAAAATAAATCTTTCGAATAATTCAGTCAAAATCGGGATATTCTCAAGAAAAGAGTTCAGAACTGTTTGGAAAGCTGATGAATCTGTGTTTAATAACAGTCTGACAAGAAATGTCCTGCAAAGAGAGATATTTTCATATCCAGGTTTCGGATCTAACGCGTTGTAGTCGGAGGAGAAGACAAACGACTTGAAAATAAAGAATAGTGGGTCGGGGAATTGCTCTGAGTGGTCGTAAACGATTAATAAATATCTTATGAAAATAAAAATTAAATCCCAAACGCGAACATTATCAGAATTCTTCGAAATCAATGCAATTAAGTTACCGACAACAGCTGTGTAGTAGTCTTGTTCGCTCCCTGTGATTTTTTCTAAGATAGGAATATAATTTGACATGTAAGGGGGGCTAAGTCGACTTTTATCGGCAGATGGGAACTCAAATACGGGTTTGTTCCAATCTAACTCGTTTGGAATAGAAAATTCTCCTGTCTCATATGGTATTTGAATTTCAGATTTTGTTGGAACAGGAACGTATGGATCATTATCGCAAATCTTGGCCCAGAACAGAAGAGCAAGACTGGATATGAAGTTTATCGATATTTTTCTCTCAAGATACTGTACAATGTCGCCGAAGAATGATAAAACAACAAAATCGAGTTGAGATAAATATGGATAAACTGTCTCGTAAATCTCCGATATGATAGATGGATCGAAATCTTTCGAGAATTTCTGTAATAAAATAGTGATTAAAGTAGTAAATTTAATAGCCTCGGGAGGAAATTCGTTTTCAACAATTCCAATCGAAGATTTGAGGATATCTGGTAGTAACTTTAAAGCGTATCCTGGTAATGAAGAATATTCTAGGAAAATATCCGAAATTAAAGAATATAAATCATCGAATTCTTTCGCAGGAATGTTAGGTTCGGTTAAAAGCTTAATATAAACGAAAAATGTATTTAAATATATTGCTGTATAATCGCTTGAATAGTTAAAATAGAAAATCGGGATTAATTGCTTGAAATTTTCGAATTTTTTCTCAACTTTGCAATGAATTATCCATGTCATTAAATAATGCACTAGGTAAGATGAATGATATGATCGTATTCTTTCTGTTACGGTTGGTTGAGATAGAATATTTTGAATTAATTCTTGAGGAGGCGAAAATTCGATATTGAGATCATAGTATGGGATATGAAATTTAATACCCTGCTCGATTTGTGCCTTGATTTGACGTATTGTGGCTGGCGGAATTGGAGATAGCGGGTAATCATTAATTTCATTGATATATCCAGCATCTTCGGAGAAGGATTGATATTTTGTCGTTGGGCAACGCTCAATAATCTCCAAAAATGTCTTATTCTGGACAGTATCAATATCTAAAATCATCAATCAATAAAATTTGCTTGGCAAAATCCTGACAAATCCACAAATTTTACCTCCATCATTGTTAAATTAGTAAGCAATTTATATGAGCCTCTTATTTATTAAAGAAAAAATGGTGGGAGCTTGAATCAATATTGAGGTTTATCTTTATCTAAAGGCTAAAGTCATAAATCGATAATTTTGAATAAGACAAAGTGACTTACAAGGCGTGTATATCTGCACACTTTGAGAATAAACATATCAAATTAATTTCTTAATGATAGGAGTTCAAATATTTGTTCCAAAAATTCGGACGTGTAAATTATAGAAATAGTTTGAAAATTTGATAATATAGCGGAAATGTTTTTAATTGAGCTTTATTAATTTAAAAATCATTGTACAATGGTTAAAATGTGTGTATTTTCATTTTCAAAATGCCACTTTTAATTGAATTTTATCTGCCGTGGTTCATAAAAGAATTTACAAACAGCATGATAATAAGTGTATCAAAAAAATCGAGAAAAATTGTGAGAAATTTGAATAATTTTTTTTATACGAAGTGATGAAATCTGCAGAACATGTATATTCTTTTAAAGCTCGGCAGTTCATCAAGCAAAGGTTTGCACCTATTATAGTTGGTTTTGTAGACACAAATGCCGAAAAAGCATTTGCTCCGACTGGAGTTTCATTCTCTGACTTTTTTGCAGGACTCTGTACTGCCTATCAAGAACCAATTCGTTACTATGATGTGACAACATTTGTTGATGCCCAAGAATCTACATTTTTCGAGTCAATTAAAAATGACACGACAAAATACGGACAATTGTTTATTCCGCCGCAATTTGAAAAGGAAGCTAGTGTCGATACGAATAATGTCAAACTCGAATGTCCCGTTCCAAAGAAACTTTTATTTGGATCTGAGGATACAAGATTTACGCCTTGGTACAAGAATTTCATTCATCATCTTTGCGAAAGCATTAAAATCAAGAAATACGAATTTTGTGATATCCCTTTTTGCTTATTATACGTTTCTACAGCACAATCTCCTAATATCGATAATAAATCAGTCAGAAAAATGATCCCAATACCTTCTTGGATGGCACCATTTATCTCAGATATCCCAGTTGGACGGATTATCATTTACGATCCTATTGTCACTCCAAATCCTCCAAAAATCAACAAATCAGACCAAAGTTTCGTGTTTCCACTCCCAGTGAAATCAAAACCAGATGAAACACAGTCAAAATCAGATTTTTACAAAAAATATTTTTCACATGATCCAAATATTGTTAATGCTTTAACGAAATCGCAGATCATTGGTAATAATGAGATTGCAAAAACACTAGAAATAATCTCAGTTGTCTACCGTGGAGAAATATCTCCTTTAATTCAGAGACAAATCAACGATTTGAAAGAGAAAATCGAGAAAACAAAGAAGGTTTCGAACAGACTTCGTGGAATTTTCAAGAAAAAGTCAGATACCGAAAAACAAGGCGAATTACCAGAAACGAAGACAAATCAATTACGTTTGGCAGCACTTTACATGATTACAGGTCAATATCCTGAAGCAGAAAAGCTTTTTAAGCACATTTCGCAGCATAATCCTTTATTAAAGTTGCAAATTTCAGCAAAATTCTGGCATAATCTTGCATGTTTTGCGCAGAACAACTTTAATTTCAGTAATTCTAGGGAATTATGTGAAGAAGTGTTTAAATCAAATGATATTCGTTTTATTTTGTATACATTTATTGTTTTATCAGAGATTTACCATGCTGAAAACAACAATGACTCATCCATTAACGTCATGAATATCGCTATTGCTCAAATCAAGCAGAATTGGGAAGGTTTAGAACAGACAATTAATTTAATTTTGGCATTGTTCTATGAAAGGCTTTCCGGACTCCAAGAAAACGAAAAGAGAATATTGTACTCGCTTGCACAAGCCGCAGAAATGTACATGCAGGCCTTACAACATGGACATTGCTTAAGATGCACAATTTGGCTCATTAATTGTCTTCCTCATGACTCTTGGCCGTATCTTTACCAAAGGGCATTGCTTAATAAAGCGATTTCTCTTAATTTTCTGAACGAAGTCATCCGAGCAATTTTAGATTGCAAAGAACTCCTTGAAATGGACGGTCTCCAGGAAGCTCTCCAAGAGCGAACAATCAGTCAGTTCTGGACACCTTTCAATAACCCTAGTTTCGACCCATCAAAATTCGAAATTACTTTTTCACCGTTAGTTGGCGTGAAAAAGGTCGTAATTATCACCCCATCTGATCCAGAATATTGGGGATTCCTTCGTGACGACTTCCAGAATATACTTGACGCCTTCGTGAAAATAAAAGAAGAATGGGAAAAATTGTATGGAAAAACTTTGACGATAGAGAGTTGGATGTCGAACAAAACAGAGACGAAAGAAGAGATATATGAAGTATCAACAGGATGCAACATCAAAGTTCTCATCCAACTTTCAAATAAATACGTTTTCGGTGTGAATTTGACAAAAGCAGAATTAGTTGCAGAATTCACTCCAGAAAACAAAGAAGAAAACTGTGATGATTCATACAAGACCAACCCTGCATTTCGTGTTGATATTCCAAGCAGAAAAGCAGCTTTAGATGGTGTTTCGAAAGTTCTTCCTTTGGATTTCGTTTGCAAGAAAACAGGAGTTTTCAAAATCAACAAATTCCAAATGCAAAGTTGGGGATGTGTTGAAACAAGTGTTACTTTCGAACCAGCTATTATCAAAGCTTCTGATTCATTCCCTTTAATCACAATGTCAATAGAAAATCTTCCAAATGAATTAGTTCAAGGAATTTGTGTCAGATTTTCTGTCAAAATTGTGAACAATGGAACGAAAACGGTTAGCGGTTTGACACTTGGCTTTGACCATCCAAATTCCATTGCGTATGAAGGAAATGTTGATTATCATTTCGGAATTGCTTCTGTTAACTTGGAAGAGAAAATTGAACCAGGAAAATCAATTTGTATTCCAATGATTTTCAGAGCAGCGAAAGTCAACATCAACAGAGTTCATTTTTACTTGTCACACTCGCAAACCATTGTTTCTTTGACAGCTTTATCTGTTAAAGTTAATTCTTCTGTATCTATATACTCAAGAATCATTCCTTTCGCTCATGACACTTCAAAGTTTGCTTTGAAAGTAAAATTCGATCCAAAAGTTGACGGATTGACAATTGTCGGAGTTTTCGACAAAACAGGAAAACTTCTTAAGACATTACATCCTAATCCTGCCAGCCTTGTTCAAAAGGAATCGAGCGCAACGATAGTTTACTACGCTGACCAACACAACGAAGAATTTGTTTTAGAACCATGGAGATTGTTTATGTTGGAACAAAATTCTTACGCGATGTTGTTCAAAGTTGAAGGTAATGAACTACTCGCACAACAGAATATGAGAATACATCCTGATAATAGTCAAATGGTTCGAATTTCTGCACCAACATTCGTGAAATTCACTCCCGGTGTTTCTGTGAATGTTTCACTCAAAATTGAGTCAGAAAATCCTGTTTTTGTTCAACCAAAAGACATTGAATTACTCAATGATGAAAAGAACCAGATAACTCCTATAATGCCTGCAAGATGGACTGGTGTTACAAGGAAATGTTTGAATGCTGAAAATCAATTTTCTGCAAACTTCACATTTAATGTCTATTTGCCTGGAATTTACTCAATAACTGGGTTTATGACAAGCGAAAACAAAGAATTCGCGATGATCAAGGATTTGTCTATCCTCCATTTGATTAGAGTATCTGAAAACGAAACAAAATGAGTATATTTTTCTTTCTTTTTATTTTGTATATTTTTGTAAAGCATCAAAATTATGTTCGGATTTAATTTGCGAATAAGTAAAAATTATAGATCAAGTAAATTTTCCTTCTCCATAAATCATGATTTTATGGGTAATAAAATTTATCAAACTAATAATGTCGGCAAAAAAGTGGGAAAATTATAAATCAGAATTTGAGTACTTAGAAACTTTTTGTCAGATAATAGACTAGTAATTATATTCTTCACGTCTGTCTCTCGGAAATTGAGTGAAATGAATGGTTTACAAACGAAGAATATGATTTCAATTCTATAATCTGACAAAAAAAATGTCCTTCCAAATTTTATGACAACGTGTGTTTTAGTGTCCGAAAAAAATTTTGATTTTCCTCTCAAACGATTGTTGTTTAAAAAGGGCTCGATTTTTTGTCAGTCATATGTTGAAATGAGAGATTGTATTGTCAAAAGTTTGAAATGTATTTAAATATATAGATAGTTTAATCAAATTATAAGATGGTTATATATATTAGGCAAAATCGCAACCGAATTTTTAAATCTAGATTTTGATGATAAATTGTGATTTTTAGCTTAAATCGCGATTTTTTAAAAATCGCGAACAGAATTTTTTCGCGATTTATTAATAAATCGCGATTTGAACGATAAATTTCGATTTTTTAAAAATCGCGATTCGGGAAAAAATTGCGACTTTTTTGAAAAATCGCGAACTTTCAAAAAATCACGTCCTTAATTTTGGTCTTTTTCGGAGTGATAAGTCGTCCTTTAAGTAATATTTTTTTTTCGAATTGCTAATTGAAAAATTAAATTCGAGAAAAGAGATTACAATAGTATTGTATGGACTATAATACATTAAAACCAAAAATAATTGTTATATAATTTAAATGAAGAAGTAATTTAAAACGATTTTATTTATGATCAAATTTTTAATATTTTTTTTTGGATCAATCCATTTTAATAGAATTTATATACTATTCATCTATTAGTAAACACTACCGTATATTATTTTTTTAAGCTATCTTATTTTTTTAAGTTTTATTCAAATCTTTGGTCGCAAGAAGAATTGCATGATAAATAAAAACATTTAATCAAAGTCAATTTTATTTTTCATATTCAAATGGACTGAGTGTTAACATTTAACATTTTTTGCTAATTGTCGTCAAAAATTAGGCGTAAAGCAAAAATTGATATTTCATATGGTTTTATGATAGATAAGCATTATATTCCCACTCATTATATTCGTAAATTTTGAGGTTTATCCTTCGCTTTTAAGATCATTGAATTTGATTTTTATATAAAATAGTTATATATTTAGAAAATAATATGAGTTTATGTGATATTATTTTTCAGAAGATTTCATTCTATATGCCTATGAAAAGTACTCTCAAAACTAACTTTTTCCTAATTATAATTAAATCTAGAATATTGTATTATGCTTAGTATTATTTCATTTTTCTCATTCAATTTAGAATTTACAAATGTCAAAAAATTGAGAGTTGTCACTTTTGATGAATTTCTGTTTATTATATTCGAATGGATGTTAGTTTTTATGATATTTCTATTATACTATATATGTCAAATCATTGTATAATATATATATAAGATAAATAGCCCGAATTTTTTTTTATAAAAAAAGTGTTTTTTCAAATTTAATAATAAATATTGGGGAGAAGCTTCCTAAACTTTTTAATCCCATAAATATGGTCATTATCTGGAATAAAGAGTTAAGCGTCATATGTCACTTTTTGTACTAAGGAAACATCGACTTTATGCGTTATGACTTTTCGATGAGGAAACAAGTGTTCACGTATTATAAACTTCCTTATTCCAATAAACCGACCCTAAACATAATTAATTCTAAGCATGATAATGGTCTCTTTTCTATGATAACCAAATCAATTTGGTTATCATAGTAAAGCACCAAAAACTGGAATAGGAATAACCGCACTTAAACAGGAATAGGCAGTGTGGAAACTAGAGAAGACTCAACTGATTTTTTAAGCAACTCTTCTTGCCGATTCAAATCTGCTTTGCTAATCATTGTATATTACTATATTCTGATTAGGATACTTTAACGCTTGATGTATGCACATCATTCTTTTAGCTGATTTCTAAAATACAATCTTCTATTAACTTTGAAATTTCTTCAAAAGTTATAGTAATTCCATAGTTCATTCGTAAAATGTTATTAAATAGCTCTGACTATTCCTTTGCACGCAAAATGAGGTAGTATTTTTTGAATTTTTTACTCAAAATAAAACAAAATCTACCCAATTTTATACCACTAAAGCCTATATTGACACACATATATATAAATCTCTATTGTTATAAGATAAATTTGAAAAAATAAATTTTTTTCCTAAAATGTAAAATTATACTTGTATTCAAAGAAAGTAGATCGTTTATAAGGAAGGTATTATATATTTGGGGAGAAAATCCCTTACAATATACAAAAATATGAAAGAATATTCAATCATCAGGAAAGAGCTTAGTACTAACCATTTGTGAGACGTTCATATAATATCTTTTTCCTTTTTGGGGTTTTTAATCGGATTATCCATTTCCCTGCATTGACTTTAATTCATTCTTGATGATCTGAGTATACATGATCATTATCGAACGTTTGCCATACTCTTCCACAGTTAATGATTGCTGAAAAATGAATAGTACTGAATAACAGCTGGAATTTCATAAGTATTTTGCGTATTTATACTGATTTAAACATGAAATACTCATACAAAATGCAAAGTTTTTAAAAACAATCAATAAAAGATTTTAAATTAGATAAAATATCATATGTCACTTCTTTTTTCATCTGGATAATAAAATTGATAAATTTTTTTCTAATTAAAGATAAAGATGCATTTATAGTAGTAGAAAATTAATTTCTAGACTAAAGCTTGTTTATTGTCACCGTTTTAAGTCTAAATTTATAGGAAAGGGTTATTTTATTATGCATTAAAAGTTCTTCTATAAAATTAACATTAAAATCATCTTTCGCCTAAGAGTAATAACAAGGTTATGCAAATTTTATTGAAAATAGTACGAGAATTTTGTTTGAAAATATAATATGGTTAAAAATAGGGAATGGATGTATGAATGTTCCATATTTATTTTATCCGAGTTGCTTCATGATTCCATATTGCCGATTCCTATTCCAGTTTTTGGTGCTTTACTATGATAACCAAATTGATTTGGTTATCATAGAAAAGAGACCATTATCATGCTTATAATTTAATTAATGTTTAGGGTCGGTTTATTGGAATAAGGAAGTTTATAATACGTGAACACTTGTTTCCTCATCGAAAAGTCATAACGCATAAAGTCGATGTTTCCTTAGTACAAAAAGTGACATATGACGCTTAACTCTTTATTCCAGATAATGACCATATTTATGGGATTAAAAAGTTTAGGAAGCTTCTCCCCATTTTATTCTGCTTATAAATCATATTGTCTTGTAATATTTGATAAAATTATCACTGAATTCTTAATTAGTTTTTTTAAAAATATCAATTTTGATTTATTTGACTTGAAAATATTTTATTTATATTATAAATCATATTATCATTTAGTGTTTATCAAAATTATGGTTCTTCGTTTTTTAGCTATATTTTGAATGACAATAGAAAAAAATACTAGAAACTAAATATGTATTTAATTTTATAAGTAAAAATTCACATAATGATAATATATTTGTGAAGTTTATTTGAAGAAACGATTTTTATTAATTCAATTTTCATTATAGCATTATTTAGGTGAAGTGCTCTCAAATTGTGAGCCAGACAAATGTTTAATGGCTGCAATAAAGGAACATAGCTCAGGTGCGTTTGCATTGAATATTTATCGTTTTGATTTCACAAAGCGGTTGCGTTTAATCAAAAATTTGATAACTTAATAAATTTAAAGATTAAGCGATCTCATTTTAACACAATCGGTAAATTCAATACGTCTCTGAAACAAAGCCATAATTTCTCGTAGTATAAATATTTGATTAAAATTTTATCGCTTACAGAGTGAATTAAAGGGTGAGAGATATATAGATAGACTATATATCTCTCACCCTTTAATTCCCTATACAAAGTTCGAAAACTTGGGTGCAATCAGATCTGATTGCACCCAAGTTTTCGAACTTCATGTAAAGAATTGCTTGCTATGATGTACTGATCATGAATCAGTACATCATAGCAAGCAATTCTTCATCTTAAATATATTTTTCTTAATCAATACATAACTTGTTCGCAATTTGGTTTTAGACGCTATATTTTAATCTAATTTCGATTTTTTATAAAATCGCGTACTTCTAATAAAACGCGATTTCAAAAACAATCGCGATTTTTTTCTGTTCGCAATTTTTCAGAAGTTCGCGATTTTATAAAAAATCGAAATTTTTCTTTGCGATCGAGATTTAAAAATTCGGTTGCCTATTGATTAATTGGATTCGAATCAAAGATTGTTTTATAAATTAGAACCTTTTGATTACCATTCAGTTCAATAATTCTTGATTTGAAATTCGAAAATAGGATATCATGGATAAAGCAATTTTCTGTGTTGCCTTTAATAGTTTGTACTTCATCAATTGGTGTATATGCGTTATTGTTGTAAAATGTGTTCCATGTATCATCGAGATAACTTCCTTGAAGCGTAAGATGGTAATTATTGTTTGTATTGAGAATTTCTTGTAAATTGAGAAGATTTGTGTGTATAAATTGTCTATAAATTCCTGAGATAGAAATAAAATATTCTAAATTAAGATGAATCTGATAAATGTTGTGAAAGCATAACGGTTTTCCTGTATGTGATAAAGGAAAAGTAGGTATAAATCCTATAAACAGTTGAATAGCGTTCAGAATTATAATAAGAAATTTCAAAGAGTTTCGGGTAAATAAAGAAATCAAAAATCTTGTGTAAAAAAAAAAAAAAAAAAAAAAGTAGTGGGGCCTCCAGGCACTTCGTGCCCTCTAGCCCTGAAGATGTTTAGTATAACTTTGT